AACATTTTGAGGATATGTACGTTAATTGGAAACGCAAAAATTGTAATTTTCCTAAGATTGCTATGAATATGATAACTTCGTAAGTTGGACCGCTTAAACCCAAGCAAGCAAATCCTGGACATAATTAGAATCTTTTACAATGCAAATGCCTTTAGATGACAAATTGAAACATCTAATTTTGGAATTCCAGGGCAGAGCGATCTTATTTTCTGCAACATTAAGGTCTGTTTGACCGGTTGAAATGGGCTGAAAACTAGATTTTCAGTATTTACCGGCAGTCTTCTGGATCTTTGATCTCATACTCATGTATTAAGGCTTTTCGATACAAATCAAAACGAGGCCATCATGTTATATAGTATTGACTAAAGACCTATGAAATGACCATGCTTAGCTTTAAAGTAGTTGTCTCTTCAATAGAATTAGCATTTTGGAATAATCGAATGTTTAAAGAAAAGGACTTACTGCAGAGTGGGACCACAATCAAATCAGCAGACAGTAAGGCTATGTAACAAATTTTATTTCCATGGAAACGGCTGAAGACTAAGAGGGGTTACCATGGAGAAAGGTAAAGTAGTTGTTTTGTTATTAACAGCAAACGTGGAGAGTTTGGGTTGAATGTGGACTGTGGTGGCTGGTGATGAGTAGACCCCAATTCGTCACACATTTCCCCAATATTTTTCTAAAAAAGCGTCACCAAAACAACAATGACCACAAATTTAAATCAACCACCGGCTTTTAAGAATTGAAAACACTACACTCAACAATATTCATCACCATGATAACCAACACACTGAGGGGACCGAGCAAGGAATCTTATTAACACAACCAATATCAGAACACAGCCCACATAATCACACAAAGGTAAAGCTAACAGAAAATTCTATTTTTACATTTCCAGGGATTGCTGGCTAGCTAATGTTCTTACAATCGCGCCCATATTTCCAAGCAGATGGAACTGAAAGGTGGGAAACGCAAATCATAGCTATCTGAAGCTGAACACTTAAAATATTAGTCGACAAAATAAACATAAAACTGAACAATTTCCGGACTAAAATACTTGTAAAGCGCACAAAGTGTACGCTGAACCGGAACAGACTTCTCAAAATCATAACTGAAGCGGCAACATTCAAAAGCATAGTCATATAATAGCAACGATACAATAAATGTTGCTGTGAATGTAACTTGTAACATTAGAAGAGTCGGAAGAGCTAAGGTTGGAATTTAAGAACGCAGACCTGTCCGAAGGAGCGGATTAAAAGAACACAAATTGGAGTTAAATAACACAGAAACTGGCATGTGTCTAAGAGCGAGGAGAAGTTGCCATAAAGCGGAAGAAGAAATGTAATGTAATGAGTTACCGACAAATGTTGCGACCACGTGGCGTGACGTCATCACCACGTGGTATAACACGTGAGGCTGGATCGGAGTATTTAGTGATGTCACGAGACGATGAGACCGTCACATGGTGAGGTGGAAAAGGGGCATGTTCTTAATTGTAAAGTATTTTACGTTACCTCTGGCTTGGTTCGGTCTCCAAATCTGATTAGGCGGAATTATGGGGGGATTAGGTGGCTAGTTCATTCCTCAACTCCATTTGTAATTGCATGCGAAACTAAGAACCTCCATCAAATAGGAATTTATTTTTTAACCTCCAGCTCCGAACAAACGTGGAATATTTATTTATATCCTGAGCTGGTGTAAAGATTACACCCGGAAGTGAGCCTGAACAAAAGTTGTAATCCAATTTAGAGGGACCTGTCTGACAGACAGAGACAGATCACGAAATGAAAAATAATTAACGGTAACTAGCACACTTGTGTAATTTTATCTCTATTGGTAGATTTGAAGATTGGCTTAAAATCGTTGGAAAAGACGATCGGACAATATCATACTTTAAAGTTTAATCACGATACAAGTTGTGGATTATCTCCCGTTAAAACAATTTAAACAGTACGTATAGCAGTGCAAAGTTAAAAAAGAAAACGTAGCTTGCATGGAATAAATATGGTTTTATTTGTTTAATATTTTAACAGACTTTTCAAGCAATCCTTTAATCGACCGATAAAAACACATACGAATTACGAAGACACATATTATATAGTGTAATATTTTACCTATAACAGGTACATTGTACAATCACAAGGCCGCATCTAGCCAATTATCAACAGAACTAAAAACATCTTATTCAATAAACCTATTACATTGTACAATACCGTAGCGCACAAAGCCGTATCGTACAAGAATTACAATTTATAGTATTCGTGAAGCAAGTGTGAAGTTGGAGGCGTGCGAAGCAGCAGCTACCTCGACACCAGCTCGGACACAATGGCGGGGTGGATCCACAGAACTCTGCTATATTATAGTACATCCTAGTAACTCTATTGTGCGAGTGTTGTATTGAAGGTTAGATGAGACGTTGTGGCGTCTTTTGTTTGGTTCCCGCCATGTTAGAAATAATGTAGAATGGATATTTATATCGAGAGAGTGAAGGGAGTATTCCGGAAGTCACGTAGTTCTGATGTTTGAGTGGTTCTGGGGAATCGAGTTAGCATCAGGTGTGTGGGAAGGATTCAGAATCATTTTGGCTGATCCCGGGATACAGTTCATTGGGAGGCGCCACGTGTCACTGCGTGCGCGCCCGCTAACATGACCGATCTCGATCCCAATTACTAACAAATCACTAACTAAAAAGAACCTCCAGCTAATACCTAATACTTCTACGGGCTCAACTGCCTAGAGCGATGCTTGCTGTTCAGGATCGGCCACCAGATTGGCTTCACAATACATTTTTTGATTCGATGAAGATTCATGTTATCTGATATTTCTACTAGTACTACTTTGCCTCGAAGATCCATACAAAATTGAACCGATTAACATGAAGAGTGAACTACAGGGCAGATTATTGGCCTGACGTGTGCAGTGTACTGTGTAAGTACTCTTAGAGGTAGTAACCAAGATAAGGGGGGCGGATTACCCTTAACTCCTTAAGTTCCAAGTAGGACAAGAAGAAAAATAAATTTTGCTACTTTTTCTCTGGAAAACATTCATCAGGGCAACCTGTTCCACGGCCAATTAATTTACCTCCCAGTATTTATACTCGTATCAGATTAGTCAGGGTAGTGCACAGCCAATATTATGACAAGCCACTTTTGAGTTTTGAGACTGAACAAAATTCCTGAGTCCTGTATGGCAAAGCTAAATTACAGACTGCAGCGACCATATTATTTGAGTGAAAAAATGTTATACGTCTTGAACATGTTCACGATTTTTTGGCTCAAATAATTGAGTGAAATCGAAAAGAGAGATTATTTAGATATCATCTGGAACAGAACATGCAAAACTATCAACACGATAGAGAAATAGTGCCAAACCAAAGAACTATCTATCAGCGCCCTTAAAACTCAAATTTTACCTGGAATAGAAAGTGGACTCTAAAACATATAATAGTGGGCAACATTACTATAGGTGTTATCTGTCCAAATCAGCTAAATTTCTAGGAGTGACCTTGGACAGCACGGCAGCACCTCCAACGAACACATGACACTTTGAAGTGTCCCATTCCACAATCCTATATCAAACGCCTGATCAACGACTAAGACACCAGACTGAATCAGGAAGACTGGTCAACTAATGGTCCCAGACACACCAAAATGGAACAAGGCACCAAGCATGTCAACATCATCAAAAACCTTAAGACTGCACTCAATAACAACAGACAAAACTGCAGAAGTGATGTGCAGTGTGCACATTGTCACGGGACACTTTGGTCTAAACAAACACCTCCACACCATTTGTAAGACGCAAAGCAAGCACCAGTGCTTGTCCTATGTACGACGATGAAGATACGACTGTCTCCGGTCTCGCACCTTCTCGGACAGTGCCCAGGCCCCAGCTTGTGCACAACTAAAAGGGCAATAATTTCAACATCTACTCATTTCCCCTTACTCCACTTTACCTCCATCATCTCCACACAGATAACTCCGGCAACCTCCTTCAGGAGCATCCTCAATCCTCATGTCATCCTGTCGTGGGCCATCTAGGTCTAATTAAAAGTTTTATATCCCACTTACTACATCCATTAGCATTTCAAAGTAAACAAATCAAATGGTTGGAAGAAGGTTTCGTAAGTATGTTAACAATGAAAATAACTACATTCAAGTAAGTAATCCTCTCACGGAACTACAAATGTTTATTACATATTCCCGACTAACTCTGGGGGGGGCAACCATATTAAAGTATATTAAAATGTAGGATTTTTCCCGATTTTGACCCGGGGATATACTTTAATATACTTTAATATACCTACAATATACTTTAATATATCCCTATCTCCTTGGAGGCCTACATCAAAAATTGTTGCCCAAAATAAGCTTGCAATGCAATTCTTAATCGATTCCAAAAAGTTCTTGAAAAAATATTGAAAACTGATGGAGTTATTTCAATTTTAATGAAGTCATTTTGGCTAGTATTCCGAACCGAGATATTATGTGCAATTTTCCCAATTTTGTTCATGGAGGTCTTTTTACTTAGTATCCACTATATTCAACAAACACTGAGATATATCTTTCACATAGAGTTAGTCTCATTAAAAAATATTGAAATTTTATCGAATTTGGGCAAAAGCGAATTTGGGCAAAAGCGTATGCCCAAATATGGGCATATTTTTTAAGCTTATAGCTCAGCCAATTTTTGACCAATCTGGATGGAAATTCATGTACTAGTCCTAAAACAGGCTTATCTTGCGAATCTGAGTGAAAAATATAGTTCATCATGTAAATCTTAACGAAGTATATAAATCTTCTAATTGTAGGTATATTAAAGTATATTAAAATGTAGGATTTTTTCCGATTTTGACCATTATCCTAAAGTAACTGCTAATTTTATGTAAACAGTATGGCTCATTCTGCTATATGTAGTAGTAGTAGTTTATAGTTTGTTTATTCTGCTATATAGTACCCTTTAGCTCGCTTGCTAGGCAGCAAAAATTAAAACGATAGCCTCTGTACAGAAAATTGAATTAACTACGTTCAAATTTAGTCTGTCTAGAAATTTAAAAAATCATCATAAAACGAATTGGAATATCTATAAAATTTCTACCTTAATTTACTAAATTACGATGAAAACCAGTCCTTGGTAGGAATTTAGATCGAAATCATGTTATGAAATAATCATACATGCATAAAAATATAATTTTTGAGGAATCGCCATGCATACCAAACAGCAAACATTCACATTTCACAACAATTGTAGTATTGAAAAACACAGAAACTGTGCTCTGAAAATCTTCACGAAATTAACCACTCTACAAATTATATTTTCTTTCGGGACAAAATTCTTAAATTCTGACCAATTTTCATATCAAATACCACATCGTGGTTCACAAATTACATGGACAGTGGACACGTGCCAATAACATATCAAATCAACCATTTCTGCAAGAAGTTGCTACAGGAAAAACCGCTATAATGCAACAACTAATTAGATACTAACTAGATATAACAATATTCAATTCATATTAAATAATATTAATATAAGTTTCCTATCGCTGGGGACTTACTCCTTGCTAGTTGATTGTGGTATTCCTAGAAAAATTGATATATAATATTCCTTTGCGATCAAAATGTCCAAATAACAATTTAAATTTAACTGATCTTGTTATTTCGCTCGTCCAAGATTCTCTTCTGGAGCCACATCGATATAATATTAACTCTGAATGTGACTAAAACACAAAATAAGTCCGTTGAGTAGTAAAAGAAGAGGTGTAAGAGGACCAAAACTATGGAACAAAGTGCCTGACAGTATTAAGCTGAAGCTACTTTTGAGTCGTTTAAAGTTAGTTTGTCCAAGTTTCTTGCTTTGATACCGGACAACCCCCCGATTTCCGGTTATAGCTGCAGCTGGTCCAATTCCCTGGTAGACTACTCGCCATCGAGGTGGCCAGACATATGATGACCCATCCTGCTACGAGGATAAACTCTACCATTTTCACTCCAGCCCCCTCACTATTGTCTGAGACTGGCCACCAAGCAGAGCCTGCTGTTTTTCAAGAGTCTCCCATTTGACGGAGGAAAAGTAGATATGAGATCTGATCTCCTCGGATCCCATGACCCCTGCCCCTAATCGTTCAGCTGGGTTGTACTTCAACAGACCTGGAGAAAGAAGAGGATCTTCAAAATTCATATTATATATTATGAAATTATATATGGACTGTGACATTTCTAATAGAGAGTATAAAGGTGTCGAGTGATGACAGAGTGAGACGGAAGTTTGTGGGAGAAAAGTTGAAAATGGATCGTGATCGAAGTGCTAGTTTCTGTATACGGCGTGACACATATTTTTGGTATAACACATTTCTCACGAAATATACACATATTTCAAAGGAAATTATTTGTAATGGATGATGACGTTTTTTAGAAAAGATTAGCAACTACAGGATATAAATGCGGCTCACTGTAATCTCAGTAATCTCAGGTATTTCACAAACACGCTCTCTGTTTAACAACAGCTATTACGATAGACGAACGTCACATCTCAGATGGCTTATCTTTGGTATTATCAGATTATGGGAGTCTTGACGCGGATAAATATCTGTGACATGCAGAAGGAAGGCTGATAACAGTAACACAATTCACGTACATGACTCACGTACGGACATTATTCGTATGGGTAGTGGTGGACATTTGGTTATAATGTTGCATCGTCAATAATGAAGATATGTACAATGTTCAATGAATAGTAATGAACGATACTAAAGATGTAATAATGAATACATGCGTAAATATAAAGATAATACAACGAAAATGTTCAGTGTATACACGTAATAGGAGCCGACCAGATCAATAATTTCAACCGGAACGGTTATCATGAAAATATCCGAGATTCTATTCGGCGAGGTGATGCCCTTTCAGATAATTCCACAGTGGACTTAATGAACTTGGCCTGTCTGAATCAAGTTTAAAGTGGTTCCATTCATTAAATTCCATACATTGAATTCCATACACTAAATACCATACGTAGAAAGATATATCTGAACTGTAAACAATAGTGCTACACTCTACCATATTCAAAAGTGAAACTTACTTATCTAATTATCATAATTCACTTGGTTTAGTTCCCCATAGTGACAAATAGTATCTTATCCAAGTATACTACAAAGCCCGTGGTTACAGGGATGAAGCTAGTAGCTTTCTATTTATTTGGCAGTCAGTTTTTGTCGCATCAAAAAACCCCACCGAAGAAGATACAGCCGATTAAAAATGACGTCCAATGTTTCAATGAAACAAGAAATTTTTTTCGAAATCAAAATATTACAAATAACCAAGTGTGTTATCAACTGCTTTGAACCTTCTTATCTTATTGATATTATATTGGTTTAGCAAATAATTCAGTTACAAATTTTTCCGGGGGCTGCACCCCCGGCCGCTGCTCGCTTCGGAGCCGGCGGTAGTTTCGCCTACTATACCCCTTTCAAAAATCCTGCGCACGCCCCTGCCAAACCCGATTACTTATTCCCTACGATATTTTCGCCTTCGGCAAGAGCAGGGAAAAAAATGATACCGTCTCAGCAACGGACGATCTACTGATTAAAAGATGACTCGAATAGGCTGGTGTATTTTTTTTTTCAAGTTCGCTTTTCGTAAATCCATATCCGTGTTCCGAGCCCGATAGATTTTTCCGAGTAATTGATCAAAAAATAGGCCAGACTCCGAACTTGGCCGGATTTCCAGTCAGCTCCTAGTGCTTATGTTTAACTACAGATGTGAGTTAACATTACCTGCAACCAGAGAACTTCCTCCAGAATGATCTTCATTCGTTATCTTTATATTGGTTGTTCTGAAATTATACGGCATCAAATTCATCTAGTCAACTGCCAACATTTATTCGCACAACTATAAAATGGTAGTGTGAGTACGTGATAGTTCAAACTAAGAACATAAAAACATGCAATAAATTACACACCCCCTGGGGGTGTTACAGATCTATCCGCGATCAAACAAACAAACGGTAATAAAGCGATAAAGCCATGATCTGATTCTGAAGTTAACTGACAGAAAGCATGAAGTTCCAACCTACAGTTAGATGGGCGTCGTCTTCCAATTGTATCGCCTCTCGGATTTGCTCTCGGATCCTATAGGATTTGAGTATCCTATCGGGTCCGAGAGCAAATCCTATCGGCACTCGGAATAGTTAAATCCAATCTCCGCTAGGATTAGCGCTCGGATCCGATAAGTTAATAATTTCCTATCGGGTCCGATAGCAAATCCTATCGTCTCTCGGAAATTACACATCCTGTCGCCGCTCGGCGATAGGAATTCGTCAGAGGTATCCTGGGGAACCGGATCGGCGTAAGGATTGATAAAATCCGAGACGTCTCGGACGCGCTATAACATATCTAACTTATAATCCCAGAATGTGTGTCTGTCTGTCTGTTTGTAATTTCCGAGCGGCTTAATCAAGAAAACGGTAAGAGTTGCGGGACTGATTTTTTCGGTAAAGTGCCGACAAAACTCTGACGAAGTTAAATGATAAAGGTTTTTTAAATCGGTCGTTGGTAGGTGGTTTAATTGATGGTTTTGTACCACAAATGTTACATAATATGGCTTGAGCAGAACGGTAAGAGTTACGGGGCTCGCATATATATATGTAGCTGCATAATTAGTGTAATTGAGTTACCCGGGTAAGATTCGCTGTCTATACTATAATCTTATTAGGGGAGGGGGCACTGTTTGGACTGCAGAGAGAGAGTTCATACTTTCATACGACAATGTTATGCGTGTTCACAAATATGATAGGCGGGTGTGGTGTTGAGGGTTAATTTCTATTGATTATTGTTTAAGATACTATTGTTTAAGATACCATTGGATACGTGAGGGCACTCCGAATAGAATTGCTCACCTAATGCGGGTTCTGACTCAACGGGTAATTACTCCTACCCTTTTTAACTGCGGCAGTGAAATCCCGGCCGAAGGCCGGGTTACACTAGTAACACTATAATACTAGGATAAATCCTAGGGTAATCCTATCTGATTAAAATCGCAAAAATCGCCCTTTTGAACAGCCGTGCGCGCGAGCGATCGACGCGATCGACGCGACAACAACCCGCGGATCACGCGCACTATACCCAAAGTATATTGCACAGCGTTCTCCAAAAATTCCAGATTTTTGGCCAACATCCAGGGCAACTGCCAACTGGCAACTTCAGGTGGTAACTTCAAGTGCATTTATCTAATCGTTAGAAACAAAAATTCAAACCTGATTGCCTGATAGGGGTAATAATGCGATAAGGTTTGTCCTGACATGAGATAGAATAAAAGAGCTCCCAAACTCCACCAGTCAGCAGCTGGAGTGACGGCGTGTAATCCTGTTTATAATATAATATACATATTTCAACAAAAACTTGTAATCTGATCAGCACATTTTGATATTTTCCAAGAATGAGGTTTATTTTTCTGAATTGATGGAAACAAAATACCAGTTTACTAACCGGTAAGAACTTCGGGTGCTACAAACATCTCCGAAACAGCTTCAGTTGAGACTCTGTGGTGCAATCCAGGTAACTAAAACAATGAGGAAACTCATAGTCCATGATATAATAATGAAATTTTTAGATCTATTTTTAGGCGACTATAAAAGTCACCTGATTTCATTCTAAATTCGAGTACAAAGAACATCTCAATAGGTTCAATAGGTAGGTAGGCATGGGTTAACTGGTACACGTTTAAAACGCATGCCGTCAAGATAATAATTTTTCAGATTTTCTTTTGAGATGAAAACAAAACGAGTGGAATAGTTTTATATCAGTCTGTGTTAAAATGTCATATTCCTGTTATCATATTATCTACTTCTCGTGACTACCACATTCATATTATATTTAAAAGAGAGCCTCTTATACAGTGGGGTGACATATCTTTTCTTATACAGTGGGGTGACATATCTTTTCTTATACAGTGGGGTGACATATCTTTTCTTATACAGTGCAGTGGGGTGACATATCTTTTCTTATACAGTGGGGTGACATATCTTTTCTTATACAGTGGGGTGACATATCTTTTCTTATACAGTGGGGTGACATATCTTTTCTTATACAGTGGGGCGACATATCTTTTCTTATACAGTGGGGTGACATATCTTTTCTTATACAGTGGGGTGACATATCTTTTCTTATACAGTGGGGCGACATATCTTTTCTTATACAGTGGGGTGACATATCTTTTCTTATACAGTGGGGTGACATATCTTTTCTTATACAGTGGGGCGACATATCTTTTCTTATACAGTGGGGTGACATATCTTTTCTTATACAGTGGGGTGACATATCTTTTCTTATACAGTGGGGTGACATATCTTTTCTTATACAGTGGGGTGACATATCTTTTCTTATACAGTGGGGTGACATATCTTTTCTTATACAGTGGGGTGACATATCTTTTCTTATACAGTGGGGCGACATATCTTTTCTTATACAGTGGGGTGACATATCTTTTCTTATACAGTGGGGTGACATATCTTTTCTTATACAGTGGGGTGACATATCTTTTCTTATACAGTGGGGCGACATATCTTTTCTTATACAGTGGGGTGACATATCTTTTCTTATACAGTGGGGTGACATATCTTTTCTTATACAGTGGGGCGACATATCTTTTCTTATACAGTGGGGTGACATATCTTTTCTTATACAGTGGGGTGACATATCTTTTCTTATACAGTGGGGTGACATATCTTTTCTTATACAGTGGGGTGACATATCTTTTCTTATACAGTGGGGTGACATATCTTTTCTTATACAGTGGGGTGACATATCTTTTCTTATACAGTGGGGCGACATATCTTTTCTTATACAGTGGGGTGACATATCTTTTCTTATACAGTGGGGTGACATATCTTTTCTTATACAGTGGGGTGACATATCTTTTCTTATACAGTGGGGTGACATATCTTTTCTTATACAGTGGGGTGACATATCTTTTCTTATACAGTGGGGTGACATATCTTTTCTTATACAGTGGGGTGACATATCTTTTCTTATACAGTGGGGTGACATATCTTTTCTTATACAGTGGGGTGACATATCTTTTCTTATACAGTGGGGTGACATATCTTTTCTTATACAGTGGGGTGACATATCTTTTCTTATACAGTGGGGTGACATATCTTTTCTTATACAGTGGGGTGACATATCTTTTCTTATACAGTGGGGTGACATATCTTTTCTTATACAGTGGGGTGACATATCTTTTCTTATACAGTGGGGTGACATATCTTTTCTTATACAGTGGGGTGACATATCTTTTCTTATACAGTGGGGTGACATATCTTTTCTTATACAGTGGGGTGACATATCTTTTCTTATACAGTGGGGTGACATATCTTTTCTTATACAGTGGGGTGACATATCTTTTCTTATACAGTGGGGTGACATATCTTTTCTTATACAGTGGGGTGACATATCTTTTCTTATACAGTGGGGTGACATATCTTTTCTTATACAGTGGGGTGACATATCTTTTCTTATACAGTGGGGTGACATATCTTTTCTTATACAGTGGGGTGACATATCTTTTCTTATACAGTGGGGTGACATATCTTTTCTTATACAGTGGGGTGACATATCTTTTCTTATACAGTGGGGTGACATATCTTTTCTTATACAGTGGGGTGACATATCTTTTCTTATACAGTGGGGTGACATATCTTTTCTTATACAGTGGGGTGACATATCTTTTCTTATACAGTGGGGTGACATATCTTTTCTTATACAGTGGGGTGACATATCTTTTCTTATACAGTGGGGTGACATATCTTTTCTTATACAGTGGGGTGACATATCTTTTCTTATACAGTGGGGTGACATATCTTTTCTTATACAGTGGGGTGACATATCTTTTCTTATACAGTGGGGTGACATATCTTTTCTTATACAGTGGGGTGACATATCTTTTCTTATACAGTGGGGTGACATATCTTTTCTTATACAGTGGGGTGACATATCTTTTCTTATACAGTGGGGTGACATATCTTTTCTTATACAGTGGGGTGACATATCTTTTCTTATACAGTGGGGTGACATATCTTTTCTTATACAGTGGGGTGACATATCTTTTCTTATACAGTGGGGTGACATATCTTTTCTTATACAGTGGGGTGACATATCTTTTCTTATACAGTGGGGTGACATATCTTTTCTTATACAGTGGGGTGACATATCTTTTCTTATACAGTGGGGTGACATATCTTTTCTTATACAGTGGGGTGACATATCTTTTCTTATACAGTGGGGTGACATATCTTTTCTTATACAGTGGGGTGACATATCTTTTCTTATACAGTGGGGTGACATATCTTTTCTTATACAGTGGGGTGACATATCTTTTCTTATACAGTGGGGTGACATATCTTTTCTTATACAGTGGGGTGACATATCTTTTCTTATACAGTGGGGTGACATATCTTTTCTTATACAGTGGGGTGACATATCTTTTCTTATACAGTGGGGTGACATATCTTTTCTTATACAGTGGGGTGACATATCTTTTCTTATACAGTGGGGTGACATATCTTTTCTTATACAGTGGGGTGACATATCTTTTCTTATACAGTGGGGTGACATATCTTTTCTTATACAGTGGGGTGACATATCTTTTCTTATACAGTGGGGTGACATATCTTTTCTTATACAGTGGGGTGACATATCTTTTCTTATACAGTGGGGTGACATATCTTTTCTTATACAGTGGGGTGACATATCTTTTCTTATACAGTGGGGTGACATATCTTTTCTTATACAGTGGGGTGACATATCTTTTCTTATACAGTGGGGTGACATATCTTTTCTTATACAGTGGGGTGACATATCTTTTCTTATACAGTGGGGTGACATATCTTTTCGTCATTGGATCGGGAAATTGAGCGGTCATCCACATAAGAAATACGGCCGCATTTCTTCGTAATATTGTATAACACTTATTCCGAAGGACTTAGTTGTTACATTCAATTGGGAAAACTTACCCTTTGTTACCTATATGTTTTGTACGTGTATTAGACTTTGTACGTGTACGTGTTATACCACCCAAATTATAAAATCACATCCACCTGATAAACATCAGATTCTATTTTAAGAATATCCCGCCAAAGGAGAGTTATCTTGCCGTATATCATACAAATATTTTAGATGCTTCCATATTCCTTACCACAGGAATCTTACATTATTTTACATAATAATATAATATAATTCTAAATCTCAAATTAAATCAAGATACGTGACGTTGACGTCCCGAACATCATGGTTAAAGTCTGTAATACCACGAACTACATTGTGATAGAATTACACAATCCAAACAGGAAACCAGATATCAGATACAAAGAATGAAAGCCTTAAGAAATTACATACTAGAGTACATTAGTACAAGCAACTATGAAGAAATTTCGCTAATATGGATGAAGATAAGATGTACATAAGGGGAGATACACCAAAAGGGGAGATACACCAAAAAGGGGAGATACACCAAAAACGTTTTTGCTCCGAACATCGATTTTATTTTATATTATGGTTAAATAGACAAAAAGAATAAGATTGCACACCTTCAAAATTTTCTAAAAATATTCCCTCGTCGAGAAAAAAATATTTTTCTTTTTCGAAAATGTTTAAAATTTGGAGAAGTCTGTCACTGTAATACCGATAGTTCGGCCATTTTAAAAGTTTTTTGGCTGATTTTTTACTGAACATTACTTACAATCCGTACAAGAAGCCATTGAAAGGATTATATAATTGAACGATAAATGACGAAGTTACAGACCAAACAAGGTCGAAGAATAAAAATTGAAATTTTTCCCACTTCTAAAGTTGTACATTTCACCAATCACCCGGGTCAGCAGATATCGCTTCAAAAATTCTTGTGAGTGTAGCTGATGATTATATCAAACTTTTTGGAGTAGGATTTCTCTCAGATTTGAGTTTTAAGCTATGCAATGTGGCCTCAAACGACTTAGTAAAATTCATCGTAAAAAAGGGCAAAAAAGGCAGATTTAAGGCTTAAAATGCCTATAACTCAAAAAGTATCAGTTTTTTTGAAATAATTTTCACAGGATCGTAATCAGCTTGGTAAGACGAATCTTTTAGGATGTTCGGAGCAAAAACGTTTTTGGTGTATCTCCCCTTAAGAGGGCGCAACAGTTTATTTTACAATTTTAGATTACAAAAGTACCTAATTTATGAGGCTAACGACTCTGTAAATATATTGAAACGTAGATTAGGTTTTATTTTATGTTAATCTAATCTGTCCTTTTCATATTTGATAAATCGCGAGGTTTCAACTCCATTTGCGAGCTGAAATTGGTCAGGTAGAAGGGTCGGTTTTTGGTAAATTTTCAGTGTCCCGTTGCCGGGGGAATTTCGTCAAGTTTAAAATATAGTATACTGTAGATAAGGTTATAGCATCTTCAATTGCAATCGCTTGTTCAGTACTCAACCATAGCCACATCGATGTAGCGTATTGAACAAACAGATATAATAGATAAACATTAAACATAGATAAACGTGACACTCGTCTGTGAGTAATATGTCCAGGTTAATTCTAATTGGCTAACTCTATAACAAAGCTACTTATAAGTTATAACCGTGAGTAGTCAGCAAGTACACATACCTGTGTAATGTAAGTGATGCACAGTACGCATACCTGTGTAATGTAAGTGATGCACAGTACGCATACCTGTGTAATGTAAGTGATGCACACGTTAGAGAAGTCGTCTATCATGATGTTGCGAGGGTTGAGGTCAGCGTAAACTAGACCCTGTTTGTGGAGGGAACTGAGACAGACTACCATTTGTGCGGCCCACTTTCTGACCAGGTTTCTTGGGACTAGACCTGAAAGTGAAAGTGAAATATTGTGGTAGGAATAGGGAGTAAGAATGTGTTGGTGTGTGAATGCTTGTGTGTGTGCACTCGTAAATTACAAGGTGCCACTCTATTACGTAACAAGTAAAGTTATAAAATATAAACAACTAATATTTTCTAATAATTTTGAGCTGATAAGTACGCAACGAAATTCAAACTTTGTAGAGGTTTTATCATCTTTGGTGATTTTCAAAAGCAAAATCTTTGAAATGTAAGGTCTGCATTTTCAACAAATAAGAAGTTTAGGCCAGAATCAGCAATGTTACACAGAACTCAAGTAAGTGCACTTAAACATGTGTTGCTACCCTGACTACCTTGAATAACAGTCTGGTTGAGAGTAGGAGTGGGTGTGTCCGTTTCTTTACCTCCTGCCTCGTTCAGTGTTGCTGGCAATGGGGTCGAGTGTTTAAACCTGCCCAAATTAAAATAGATTATTAGAATGGGAGTATGATATTTAAATATTTTATACTACTGTATATACATTATACTAGTGTAAATCCAGTGTATTATATCCAGATAAACGAACACACTAACACAGTTACGTTTACCAGTCATTCAAACAGTTGATATGAAACACTTAACCTAACTAATATTTAAGAGAGGACATGACTTCAACTCACTTATAAAGTTGCAACCAAATTTTATAACATAAGATTGCAACCAAATTTGTAAGAATCGATTAGGAAGTTAGGAGAAAATTGAACAAAACTTGTATATAATGAATTATAAAATTAAGTAAAACATTCACTATTACTCGTGCGAAGGAGATAAATAACACAACTGGTTAAGGACCAGTATGAGCCAGTTACCAGCTGAGTCAGTTACCAACTGAGTCAGTTACCAGCTGAGTCAGTTACCAGCTGAGTCAGTTACCAACTGAGTCAGTTACCAACTGAGTCAGTTACCAACTGAGTCAGTTACCAGCTGAGTCAGTTACCAACTGAGTCAGTTACCAGCTGAGTCAGTTACCAACTGAGTCAGTTACCAGCTGAGCCAGTTACCAGCTGAGTTAGTTACCAACTGAGCCAGTTACCAGCTGAGTCAGTTACCAACTGAGTCAGTTGGTAACTGAGTCAGTTACCAGCTGAGTCAGTTACCAGCTGAGCCAGTTACCAGCTGAGTTAGTTACCAACTGAGCCAGTTACCAGCTGAGTCAGTTACCAACTGAGTCAGTTGGTAACTGAGTCAGTTACCAGCTGAGTCAGTTACCAACTGAGTCAGTTACCAACTGAGTCAGTTACCAACTGAGTCAGTTACCAGCTGAGTCAGTTACCAGCTGAGTCAGTTACCAACTGAGTCAGTTACCAGCTGAGTCAGTTACCAACTGAGTCAGTTACCAGCTGAGCCAGTTACCAGCTGAGTTAGTTACCAACTGAGCCAGTTACCAGCTGAGTCAGTTACCAGCTGAGTCAGTTACCAGCTGAGTCAGTTACCAGCTGAGCCAGTTACCGGTCAAATGTTCAGGAATAATAAACTGACATTTTACACTGTACACGACCGCAAAGGATAAAAGAAAACACCGTGTAACATTTAAAACATGATCTAAACAATGTGTTACCTGCTCACATACTCCGGCAGCACCTGTCCCTGTACTCTCTTCAGCAATATAAACACCACGTCCTCCTCCACACAGTACTTCACAAGAGGTACCAGGAAGGGAGATCTGACAACTAGAGACTGTCCGGATATGCTGCCACTCAGCGGCTTGCGCATCGTCTTCAGCACGTGCACGTTCCCGCTGCACGTGGGCAAGGGAGGGGTTAGTTTTATTGGGACACATTACAACTACACCTTTTTGTGAGACATCATGTACTGGGTTCGATTAATCGTTTTTTGTCGTATGACGAAGGTGAAATACCTAAACAGCAATAATAATAAGACACACCTTTTAGGTGATTGAACGATGAGGACTCTGTCCTTAACGGAGAGGACCCTGAAAGCTCGAACTTGTTCTCTTGACATTATGATGGGTTTATTGTGTTGTTGTTGGCTTCGATGTTTGGTTGCAAAGTTGTCAGCTATCTGGAGATATTCAGCTGTTCTACGTCGAACTCCTGAAATATGTGTAATATAATATGTCGTGTAATATGTGTAATATGCTATTTTAAAGTTTATCTACATGGATCGGTTTGCACATGCTTGTTTTACGACAGTTTGCAAGCCTCGTGTGTTGTATTTACTGATAATTTAAAATCAAAAACACGTACTGAGTGCTAATGAAGGTGAAAAAACACGTTTACTTAATCTCTGTTACTTGGAACTTTCCAATATTCGCAGCGGAATACAAGCCCATTACGTAAGCCATATGCATGGTCGTGATGAGCAAGAGCATCAATCTGTGCAGATGCATGAACAAACATAATGAACGATTATAAATACACAGTTATTAAAACAAATGGTTACGTCAAGTTATATGTTACATATAAGTTAAAGTGATTGTCAAATATTATCTGAGTCACATATAATATATGTAACTCAGATACTGATAAGCGGTCATACGTCAACATAGTACGCATGTAAATTTTATTAAAAATATAATGAGCGTCGACTTGTTTTGCACATTATCGTATCGAATGGAAACATCTGGCTATTAGATAAAACTAACTTTTAACCCTACATAACTAACAAACTGCACAAAGATAAAATCAAAAGAGGAGAACATTGTTAAGTTGCTACCAACCTTCACGTCTCATAGGATCAGGGTCATGTTGAACACCAGCTATCAGTATCTCAACAGCTGCTTTTAACATTTCATTAGCACCTCTAAAGTCGCGGAGCTTCTCACGCTGGCGTGCTTCTGCCACAATGTGCGCGCAGTTCTTGTAGTAATCCTCTCCTCTGAACCCAAAACATCCTATTTCCACGAGAGAAGGTGAGGAGTGACTCTTTGTCATACCCGTGTGACGTAAGGTGAGGTTACTGACTGGTTTTGGTTGAGTTGGAGCTAGCTTCTCCCTCATTTCAGAGTTACGACGCTGATTTGAAGATCTGTGGTTTGAAGCACCGTGGTTTGAAGCACCATGGTTAGAAGCACCGTGGTTTGAAGCACCATGGTTAGAAGCACCATGGTTAGAAGCACCATGGTTAAAGGCATTATTATTAGACACATTATGATTGGAAGAGCTGACCCCAGGCTCCGAACTAGTGTCCTCTGCGTCGTTCAAATCAATCTCGAAAGTTGGCAGTACCACATGTCTCATCTCAAAAGGAACATCAGTGTCCTCTGCAAACGCTATATCCGTTTTATTATGGGGATTCTCCGGCTCTAGATATATCTCCTCTAGATCGCTGCATTCTGAGCTGACATCAGAAATAAGACTGGGGTTTGAACTGTAAACATCTGATCCTAACAGGTTACTGTTCAACAGTTTATTCTCGATGGGAGTCCCAAATTGTTCCTCCTCTCTGACCTCACTTATCTCCTCCACCAGTGTACACGTGGTATCCGTACTTTCCTCCCGGACTACTATAGCAGGCTTGACACGTGACGAGTGGCGCATATCCGGAGCCTCAAAATCATCGAATAACTTTCCTTCTGAGATATCTTGAGGGGTGTCAAGATTTCTTAAGTTTTCAAGGCTCATTTCCACGGGTGGTTAAAATAGGTTCAGCTCGGTTATATTTTGTCAGTATTTTTGCTGAAAATAACACGTGACCCAGTGTTAGGAAGTTTCTGAAGAGGAGAGTGAGGTGTACTTAAGAGTGGAACCTGTGCACTCGGAGGAAGGGAAACGTTCAAACGAGTTGTTTCTCTCCAGGAGCAAGGTGAGGTCCTCGTCAGAGAGTACTAGTAACTCAGGAACCTGAGGACGAGACAAGGATGAGACAAGATTGAGGGAAACCACTATACTGGAGCTCTAAATTGAAAAGAAATCGAACGAGATAGTAGGTTTTTTATCAGATATGTGGGATTGATGAATTTGTTTTCTTAATCCCGAATCAGAGAAGCTTGATAGAATTATTAATATTACCTCAAACTTCTTGCGAATATCTTCACGACTGTACTTTCCTCCAGCAACTTTTAGTTGGTGTTTTACCTGCGATTGTTTTTTTTAATTCAAAGAAATAAGATACAAAATACATTAAATAAGATAAATATACAAAGCAATTTTCATTATGTACGCAATTTAAATGTGGTTCTTTAATTTTGATCTACACCGGATATTTTTTTTGATACATTTTACGTGAAGCTGATCAGATTCGCAATCTTTATTTTGCAATTTAGTTCAACATACAGCTGAAGTCAAGTTACAACCTAATCGAATTATGTGTCCTTGCCTATACTAGGCTATTGTCAAGGTCAGCCTGTGCCTCTGTCTCCAATTTTCAAGATGAATCTAACTGTTACCGGTTACGATCGAACAACTGAGTCCGACACCTGCTATAATGAGTAATTTCACGTGTCCCTTATAAATATTCAATTGTAAGATTGTAACTTGTGCGGGCCAGATGTCTCTTCAGAGGTGACAAGTTTTCTCTATTGAATTGAATATCATTGTTGGTTTTTTACGAGTTAGAATCGTATTGTCCACTGGCAAAAGGCGAAAAAAAATGTTTCGTTTATGCCAATTGCCCAATGTGATAGCCAGGGGTCCTATGTTTTGTGATGTGAGACAGTAGTGGTTTTCAATGATATAGGAAGTAATTTAGCCATTATCCATTAATATTATGTACCATCGAGCCGAATACTGGGGGGGGGGGTGACATGTCCCCCCGATACTGGGGGGGGGGGGGGTGACATGTCCCCCGATACTGGGGGGTGACATGTCCCCCCGATACTGGGGGGGGTGACATGTCCCCCCGATACTGGGGGGGGGGTGACATGTCCCCCCGATACTGGGGGGGGGTGACATGTCCCCCCGATACTGGGGGGTGACATGTACCCCCGATACTGGGGGGGGGGTGACATGTCCCCCCGATACTGGGGGGGTGACATGTCCCCCCGATACTGGGGGGGGGGGTGACATGTCCCCCCGATACTGGGGGGGTGACATGTCCCCCCGATACTGGGGGGGTGAGATGTCCCCCCGATACTGGGGGGGTGACATGTCCCCCCGATACTGGGGGGGGTGACATGTCCCCCCGATACTGGGGGGGTGACATGTCCCCCCGATACTGGGGGGGTGACATGTCCCCCTGATACTGGGGGGTGACATGTCCCCCCGATACTGGGGGGGGGTGACATGTCCCCCCGATACTGGGGGGGTGACATGTACCCCCGATACTCAATATTTTAATCTTTACTTATTTACATTGCTTTCCCTGCAGCTCTCCTATACCCATGTGAATCGTGCGGCAGCATTTCACAGCAGCAGTTTGCATTATGCTTGCCTTTTAGTAGCTTTACTTTCAGAGCATTGCTATCTTTAACAGTTTTAATGGCCTTCCGTGTATAGTGTAAAGTTCTATCAGATTAGTATAATTAGTGTAACGTTAATTATTTAAAGATTATACCCATTATTGCTCCCGCGTGCTGCAGTTAAATTCAGATATCCAACATCCACAGTTCACAACTGCTTACTTTTTTTCCTCGTAGGTGTTACCGACAACTAGATCTCCATGTTAAACTCCACCCATATCTACACTTTCCCCTCAGACGAAGTGAACCTCCTTCATCTGTGGGACAAACTCTTAGCCTCGTGTCTCCTCATCTGCACCACCATCGGTCTTCCAGGAAATATCCTTGCTTTCTCCTACTTTTGGGGCACCGGTAAAAGAGATCTAGCAACCTTGCTGTATCTTACTGTCAGTCTGTTGGACATTTGGACATGTATCCTTCACCTTCCTGTTATGATATCTTTGTTTGATTCAAGAAATGCTGGACTGTTTAGTTTTTACCTTGTCTGTGTGTCGTGGAATGTTCTGTTTGATTTTATGCAGAAAGTTTCTCTGTTTTTGGTGCTCCTGCTGTCTGTTTCCAGGACAATTTCTATAAGGTGCCCTTTTGTTAGGGTGAACAAAAAGGCTGTGTTTGGAGCGTTTATCTGTTATATCCTGTTGTTTGTATTACACAAGTTGTTGATAGCATTCAATGGAGTAACATTTGGTTTTGGGAACGATGGACCTTACTGCTATTCATGGTTTTCTCAATCAAAATCATGGGCAATAGCAGATAGAGTAATAGGATGCGCTCAGGTTGGGATCCCTTCAATTTTCACCTTCTTCAGCTTCGCTATCTGCACATCCTACCTATCCTCTTCAGATGTCCTTGGCGGCGTACGATCAGTTGCTTCATTTAACAAGAAAGCGAACATGACAGTGGCTATATTCACCGGGGTCTTCCTTGTTTGTAACCTGCCGTACTTTGTCATCAAAATTCTGGAGATAACAAATTATGTAATAACCAACTCTGGGTTTGACAGCGGATATCCTGGATTATTCTTCCGGGGTGATTTCATGTTTTGGTACTCGTGGACTTTATCTCACATTATCTTTACAGTTTTGAATGCTACACTAAATCCCGTAATATATTACTTCCGATTCCATAGATTTCGGTTTTGGGTTGCCGGATCGGTTGTGCAGATAAATCATGAATCACCCGAAGCTTTCAAGATGAACAATGATTTCATTCAGAGCTAAACATTTTCTTGAAAATAAGAACATTATTTTGGAGGATTCGAGAGTGGAACAATTAACGATTCGCAATATATATATATATATAATATAGCAGGGATAATTTAGAGAACTTATTGCTGAGTTTACAGTGTCATTCTTAGCTTAATAGTAAAAATCTTTACCTGATTGTACTCCTTGTAAAAAGGATGCAAATCCGAACTGCTGACTGCCACAAAGGACTCAGGCTCCCTGTATCGGAACTGATTGTCAACAGCACAATCAAACTCAAAACACTTTGACTTCGACCGCTGGCAACACGCTATTGTTACTCTGCGCTTTTTCTTGCTTCCACTATTGTAGTCAAGAATGAGTCCCTGAAAAGTTAATTTGATACAATTTAAACTTTTAAACTTTCCGCTATTGCACTAAGTGGTAAAAATTCATCACTCACATAATCATTAGTGTTACTAATTACAGCACTACAAATCTATTACATTTATTGAGAATTATGTTATGTAACGTGATGGAAATATTTTAAACGGGCATATCCTGTCCAAACCCAGGATGCACTACATGAAGAATTCGTTGTAACTTGGTTTGAAAAGCATTAACATAATCTTTTAAATGAATTATTAAAGGGCTACGATTAACAGAGCAAACTGTAAAATAATTACAAATATTTCAAATATTTTAGCAAACCTGACAAAAGAATTTAACAGAAGAGATTGTAAGTAAGAAGATACTTTTCTGAATCTGTGTGAGAAATTCTGAAAATTCTTTTGACCGCTGGCTTATGACTTTAGGATCTTTTTCAGCTGAAGATAAATAAATCTTTATGATTGAACGCTTAAAAGTTCACTTATTAAATAGAAATGACTCCACATTCCTAAGCAGATGTAAGCATGAAACCCCGGCCCCAGTATCCCGAGTTCGGATTGTGACCAAATTTACCAATTAGCGTTTGATATTATATGCATTTTACTTTTCATGTGACCCTTCGATTCTCCTAGAGCTGACTTCTTGAATATGAAAAACAGGCAGATTTCGGAAAAATAAAATAAATGTTACCTGCAAATTTTACTTTTAAATTGTTAGAAGTTTTACTCACATTGCCAGAATGATGTCTGGAGGAAAGGTTTAAATGTAATTCCAAGGTCGGGAAACTTTGAATGGTGTTCAATATGATCTTTGAGTTTAGTAAACTCGTCAACACAGTGACAAACTTCAACCTGCAAGTTTGATTGTTAGTTTAAAATCAACTCTTACAAGAAATTAGATTAAAATAAGAATGAAAAGCAGCTTAAGGAAAACAAGTGAAAAGAAAAAGAGTCATTCTAACTTGGCCTCAAAACAATAATTAAACAATTGTCAAGTAATTGATAAGAAGAGCAGTACTATATGTCTAGAGTGTGGGTCAGACGAGAATTTACCTTCTTTATTTGATTGCTTGAAGAGACACACTGAAAGACAAACAAATTTCAGGTTTGAAGTTATAGTGAAAACGTTTTAGAGAATTTGAAGAGGCATAGAAAAAATACAACCCCAAGATCAAGTCTTTAAGACAGCTAATATTATACAAAATAATATTCGATTCTTAAGTATTCTTGTTTAAAAAAATGTGGGTTATGAAAAATTATAAAATGTTTTGAAACAGGAGATAAGTATGTCAAGAAATGAACGTACCTTAACGATAACCGAATAGAGAACTCTGGAGGAACGGATCCTGTGACTACCAAACTCTACTGTTAGAAGAATTACATCCATTTCTACAAATGATCATCCTGTAATTAATGATATTAGATGTTAAGGGGACATACATTTGATACATTGAACATTTTATGACAGTACGCACTTTCGGGAAAAAATATTTTCGTAAAGTCTGTCACTGAAATACCGATAATTTAGTCTTTTTACAAGTTTTTTGGCTGACGTTTTTACTGAACATTACTTACAATCCGTACAAGACGCCCTTCAAAGGATGATGCCTACTATTAAAGTTGTACATTTTACCAACGAACAGCTCCCGCCAACATCTGGGGCAGCTGAACAACATTCTTATCGCGTTTTCCATCAGCTGCAGTAAGGTTTTTTTTTTACATATTTGATAGATTTACAGATCTGGCTTGACAAAAATTTTCAGAAAAAATCATGTTCGCGGGAAGCAAAAATCCGATGAGTTTTTTAGGGGGGAGGGGTAGGGGGTTGAGGGGGGTTGGGAAGGGTTGTCACATGACGAGAAATTTTTTGCAAAAATTAAACAATCTTTATTTGTTGATATTATTCACCCCTGTTGCCTAGAGTGGTGGGTCTGCACTTGAGAAGAGTGGGTCTGGCCGCTAGAATGGTGGGTCTGCAATCTAGAAGTGGGTCTGGCAACCAGAATGGTGGGTCTGCAATCTAGAAGTGGGTCTGGCAACCAGAATGATGGGTCTGTACCCTTAAAGAGTGGTCTGACAACCAGAGTGGTGGGTGTGCACTTGAGAATAGGGGGTCTGGCAGCTAGAATGGTGGGTATGCAATCTAGAAGTGGGTCTGTTAACCAGAAGTGTGGGTCTACACCCTTGAAGAGTGGGTCTGACAAGCAGAATGGTGGGTCTGCACTTGAGAAGAGTGGTTCTTGCGGCTGGAATGGTGGGTCTGCAATCTAGAAGTTGGTCTAGCAACCAGAATTGTGGATCTGCATTCGAGAATAATGAGTCTTCACTCTAGAAGAGTGGGTCTGACAACCAGAATGGTGGGTCTGCACTTGAGAAGAGTGGGTCTGGCGGCTGGAATGGTGGGTCTGCAATCTAGAAGTTGGTCTAGCAACAGAATTGTGGATCTGCATTCGAGAATAATGAGTCTTCACTCTAGAAGAGTGGGTCCGGCAACCAGAGTGGTGGGTCTGCACTTGAGAAGCGTGGGTCTGGCCGCTAAATGGTGAGTCTGCACCCTTTAAGAGTGGGTCTGACAACCAGAGTGGTGGGTCTGGACTTGAGAAGAGTGGGTCTGGCAGCTGGAATGGTGGGTCTGCAATCTAGAAGTGGGTCCGGCAACCAGAATGGTGGGTGTACGTACACCCTTGAAGAGTGGGTCTGACAACCAGAGTGGTGGGTCTGCACCCTTGAAGAGTGGGTCTGACAACCAGGGTGGTGGGTCTACACTTGAGAAGAGTTGGTCTGGCAGCTAGAATGGTGGGTCTGCGATCTAAAAGTGGGTCTTGCAACCAGAATGGTGGGTTTGCATTCTTGAAGAGTGGGTCTGACAACCAGTGTGGTGGGTCTGCACTTGAGAAGAGTGGGTCTGGCAGCTAGAATGGTGGGTCTGCAATCTAGAAGTGGGTCTGGCAGTTAGAATGGTGGGTCTGCAATCTAGACGTGGGTCTGGCAACATGAATGGTGGGTCTGCACCCTTCAGGCTTAAAGAGTGGGTCTGACAACCAGAGTGGTAGATCTGCACTTGAGAAGTGTGGGTCTGGCAGCTGGAATGGTGGGTCTGCAATCTAGAAGTTGGTCTGGCAACCAGAATGGTGGGTCTGCACCCTTCAGGCTTCAAGAGTGGGTCTGACAACCAGAGTGGTGGGTCTGCACTTGAGAAGAGTGGGTCTGGCAGCTAGAATGTTGGGTCTGCAATCTATAAGTGGGTCTGGCAACCAGAACGGTGGGTCTGCAGTCTGCACCCTTAAAGAGTGGGTCTGACAACCCGAGTGGTGGGTCTGCACTTGAGAAGAGTGGGTCTGGCAGCTGGAATGGTGGGTCTGCAATCTAGAAGTTGGTCTGGCAACCAGAATGGTGGGTGTACGTACACCCTTGAAGAGTGAGTCTGACAACCCGAGTGGTGGGTCTACACTTGAGAAGAGTTGGTCTGGCGGCTAGAATGGTAGGTCTGCGATCTAAAAGTGGGTCTTGCAGCCAGAATGGTGGATCTGCACTTGAGAAGAGTGGGTCTGTCAGCTGGAATGGTGGGTCTGCAATCTATAAGTGAGTCTGGCAGCTAGAATAGTGGGTCTGAAATCTAGAAGTGGGTCTTGCAACATGAATGTGGGTCTGCACCCTTGAAGAGTGGGTCTGGCAATCAGAATGGTACGTCTACACTCTAGAAGAGTGGGTCTGGCAACCAGAATGGTGGATTTTCGCCCTAGAAGGGTGAGTCTGGAAACCAGAAAGGTGGGTCTACAATCTGGAATAGTGGGTCTGGCAACCAGAATTGCGGGTCTGCATTCTAGAATAGTGGATCTTCACTCTAGAAGAGTGGGCCTGGCAACCAGAATGGTAAGTCTACACTCTGTCAACCAGATTTGGGGGTCTATAAACTAGAATATAGGAGATATGGCTACCAGAATTGTGGGTTTGGACAACCCGAATGGTGGGTCTTCACTCTAGAATAATAGGTCTGGTGGGTCTACACTTTAGAAGAGTGGGTCTGGCAACTAGATTGGTGTGTCTGCAATCTATAAGAGTGGGTCTGGCAACCAGAATAGTGGGTCTGCAATCAAGGGAATCAAGATGAGTGAGTCTGGCAATCAGAATGGTGGGTCTGCACCTTAGGGTAGTGGGTCTGGAAACAAGAATGGTGGGTCAGAATTCTTGAATAGTGGGTCTTCACTCTAGCTAAGAGTGGGTCTGGCAACAAGAATGGTGGGTAAGAATTCTAGAATAGTGGGTCTTCACTCTAGAAGAGTGGGTCTGGCAACCAGAATGGTAAGTCTACACTCTGTCAAGTGTCAACCAGAATTGGGGGTCTAAACTAGAATATAGGATATATGGCAACCAGAATTGTGCGTCTGGAGTCTAGAGTCTAGAATAGTGGGTCCGGCAACCCGAAAGGTGGGTCTTCACTCAAGAATAGTGGGTCTGGCAATCGGAATGGTGCGTCTACACTCTAGAAGAGTGGGGCTGGCAACCAGAATGGTAGGTCTTCGCCTTAGAAGAGTGGGTCTGGCAACCAGAATGGTGGGTCTGCATTTTAGAATAGTGGGTCTTGACTCTATACCTACTAGAAGAGTGGGTCTCCTCTCTAGAAGAGTGAATCTGGCAACCAGAATGGTAATTCTTCACTCTGTCAACCAGAATTGGGGGTCTATGAACTAGAATATAGGAGATATGACAACCAGAATTGTGGGTCTGGACTCTAGAATAGTGGGTCTGGCAACCAAAATGTTGAGTCTGCACTCTAATAGAGTGGGTCTGGCAACTAGAATGCAGACACGTAGCCAAGGGGAAGACCCCCGGAAAAAAATTGAACCCCAAAAAAAATAAGCCCCCTAGTCCCCATGGTCGCCTGGTAAGTGGGCTGTGTTTATGACTGTTTGATTAAACGACACGACAGGCAATCGACTTTAGCATTTCGTAAATTATTCCCAAATCCCACTATACAATATGTACTTATTCCATTCAATGTGACAAGTACTGAGTTCCCCCCTAGCCCCCAACTTTGTATTATTGTGATGTCTGAAATTACAAATTTCTAATGCCAAATGTCGTCTGAAACACCCTATTTCTCAAAAATTTTCCGGGGGCTGCACCCCCAACTTTGTATTATCGCCGTCCTACAAATTTCTTTAATGCCTAATGTCGTCTAAAACAAATAATTTCTAAACATTTTCTTGGGGGCTGCACCCCCCCCCCCCCCCAGTCCCCCAACTTTATATTATTGTGATGTCTGATTATTACTGCGCCCCCCCCAGCCCACCAACCTTGTATTATTGTAATGTCTGATTATTGCTGTCCCACAAATGTCGTCTGGAACACCCTATTTCTCAAAAAGTTTCCGAAGGCCAGGGCTGCGCCTGCCTAGCCCTCCAACTTTGTATTATTGTGAGGTCTGATTATAATTACTGTCCTACACATTTCTTTAATGCCAAATGTCGTCTAAAACACTTAATTTCTCAAAAATTTTCTGATTGGCTGCGCCCCCCCTCCCTAGCCAACCAACTTTATATTATTGTGATGTCTCAGGATTATTACTGCCCTACTAATTTCTTTAATGCCTAATGTCGTCTGAATCACCCTATTTCTCAAAAATTGTCCGGGGGTGCGCCCCCCCGGCCCCCCAACTTTATATTATTGTGATGTCTGATTATTACTGTCCCCAAATTTCTTTAATGCCAAATGTCGTCTGAATCACCCTATTTCTCAAAAATTTTCCGGGCGTTGCGCCCCCAGCCCACCAACCTTGTATTATTGTAATGTCTGATTATTGCTGTCCTACAAATGTCGTCTGGAACACCCTATTTCTCAAAAATTTTCCGAAGGCCAGGGCTGCGCCCCCCTAGCCCCCCAACTTTGTATTATTGTGATGTCTGATTATTACTGTCCTACAAATTTCTTTAATGCTAAATGTCGTCTAAAACACATAATTTCTCAACAATTTTCTGGGGGGCTGCGCCTTCCCCCCTCCCTAGCCAACCAAAGGAGCTTCGCCCCGGCTACGTGTCGAGTCGGGCTACGTGCCCAGAATCGAAAAAACTTAATCTTTAAATGAATAACGGAACCTTCATTATGAAGTTACGAGATGATAATATAATTGGGAGGCAAAGTGGGTATCGGGCTTGGGGCTCATAATGCGCAAAATTTGGCCGCTGTCGAGTGGGTCTGCCTAAAATTCACAGATCTAGCTATGGGTCTGAGACATTTGTAAAAAAAAAACCTTAAGCTGCAGGCGTGGGATGAGAATGACCAAGATCCGATAAGCTGGGGATGGAAGATGAACAATAGGGCGCATGTACCAGTGACCACTCTTATGAGTACAGCTCCGAAAAAGCTCATTCAAAACATCAGTTAAATTAAATTATTTAATTTATTAATTATTTAATTAATTAATTAAATAATTTATTTTTGAAAAAGTTGTTAAAGAAAACGTTTTTCTTCTTTGTTTTCTTAACACACTGCTTTAAACTAGAATCTTCTAGGATATTCAGAACGTGACTTATTTGCGGAAAACCAAAGTGGTAAAAAGTGGTAAAAAAGTGGTAATTGTGGATTTTGCTCAAGTCAGAATTTTTGGGAATTCTCTGGAATGATTCCTGGGACCTGTCCCGACCATTTTCCGTTAAAATCGCTTAGTTGCGAATTTTGTCCGACAAAGGCTGAAATTAAGATGTATTTGACTGTACTAGTATGAAATCCTCAAAGGTCTTAGTAAAATTCATGTAAAAAATGTCAAAAATGGCAGATTTAAGGCTTAAAATGCCTATAACTCAAAAAGTATCAGTTGTTTTGAAATAATTTTTACAGAATCGTAATCAGCTTGATGAAACGAAACTTTTAATTTCCAAATTTATAATACTAAAGACACAAAATTTATAAAAAAATGTGTACAATTTGTGCGAAATTTGTACGACCCTTGTGTTCGAGCTAGAAAATTATTTAAGACTATTTGTCTTCTAAAATCATTAATTTGGTACTAAAAATTTCGTCTTATCAAGCTGATTACGATTCTGTAAAAAACTGATACTTTATAAGCCCTAAATCTGCAATTTTTTGCCCTTTTTTACATGAATTTTACTAAGACATTTGAGGCCAGATTTCATATCTTAAAACTTAAAATTGAAACAAATCCTGTTACAAAAAGTTTGATATAATCATCAGCTATACTCACAAGAATTTTTGAAGCGATATCTTATGACCTGGGTGATTGGTAAAATGTACAACTTTAATAGTAGGCAAAAATTTAAATTTTTCTTCTCTCGACCTTGTTCGGTTTGTAACTTCGTCATTTATAATAGTTCAATTATATAATCCTTTGAAGGGCGTCTTGTACAGATTGTAAATAATGTTCAGTAAAAACGTCAGCCGCAGGTCCCGGTAAAAAAGGTTTTGGTGTATGTCCCCTTAACTATGTCGACAAGTTTTGAGTAGGAAAAATGATACCACATTTTAATTGAATTGAATGTTTCAATCTTGATTGGATTTTTGTCCATTATCAACAGTTGTGTCAATGATCAATGATCATGTTAATTCATCATTATGTTCAATTCATATTCATCAAGCATAATTTTTCCATCTTTGAATATCTGTACTGATTCTTCTAGTAACTAGACTTCACTTCAGATACATAATATTATATAAGTTAAATAAGTAATAATTATTTACATTGTATACATCATAATATAACATTAAAAATATTGTAAGTGTTTTCTGAGAATAATTTATAATTCAAACATCTTTACTTCCGTGGACTATCTGAATCAAATGTATTTTATACAGTAGAAATCATAACCATAATGATAACAATGATTAAGCGTTTTTCCAATCCAATACCTTCATGAATTCTTCTTGTGTAAAGTTTAGCATTCTGGACGCCTCTAAATGTAATTTCTGTTTCCTTAAAACATCTATCAGTTTCATTTGCTTCTTGTAAGCATTTATAAGCTCTGTTTTCTGCTTCTGTAGAATCTTGTTTTCATTGGACAGTTTACCGAATGTCTCCTTGTCAACATTCGAGCATTCTGCAGATTTAGCCCTTTCGGCACTGAGCAGAGTCTTGTATTTTTCGATTTCTTCGAGACATCTGTCCAGCCTCACTTCAACAGACTTTTGAGATTGCCCACTTTTCTTTTCAGACCGCTCCATAGCCTCAATATCCTTTCGTAGCTTGACAAGATCCATTTCCAACACCTTGTTTTGGTTCTTCTTTTCATCCGCAAGCTTCGAATATTTTTCAAGTTGACCTTGCATCATTTGAATAGTCTTCTGCATCTTATTCTTTTCCTCCTTTTCAGTTGACATCATCTGTTTATTTTTTACAAGAGTTTGCTTTTGCTGGTTGTTCTCAACAGTCAGTCTTTCAACTTCCTCCTCCAAAACTCGTACTTTGGCTTTCAGCAGTCTCAATGTCGCATCAGGGCCCAAGTCTCTAGCTTCAGCAGGTAAAACCTCAGGTGGAGTGGAAATATTTTGATGCGCTGCAGGAGGAATTTCAGTTTCGAATATACCACTTTTCTCCATGGGTAGTATAGGTGATTTGTTTGATACAAAAGACAACCCTGGCCCTCTGGGTTCAGGGCTATAATCGACCATAGAAGAGGGTTCCTGCTCTTGCTCCATGGATATATTAGCCACCTCCTCTACCAACAGTCTTGTCTTTTGTTCAATCTCAGCATTAATCCTCAAATATTCTTCTTCTCTGGCTACCAGGTCTTCTGAAACTCTTGACATATATGAACTCATCCTGTAAAAAGTTTGTCATTCACCAACTTTGTTCAGTATTGCTTAGCAGGCTCTAAATTGATAGTTGGATAATATCCGGTTGAACATAAATCTAAATTATAGAACATTTTAAAATATCATAGAATTATTAATATTGAACGACTAAAAGTGGACTCCAGGCCGATGCAACAAAAATATGTACACAGATCAGAATATAAATAAAATTCCAATGAATATACATTTTTAAACATCCAGCATAAAACCCCTACAAGTTTCAAATATAAATGAAACCTGTGTCTGACCAGCTCAACTGCTCAATAGCATTATTATTTATTAATTACTAGTGTAACCCATGCCTACTGCCGGGACTTCACTATCGCAGTTGAAACTGCAAAAGTATAAACCCACCTATTATATTTGAAAACACGCATAACACTGTCGTATGAAAGTATGAACTCTCTCTACAGTCCAAACAGACCACAATGAGTGCCCCCTTCCCTAATAAGCTTATAGTATTACATGACAGTGAATCATACGCGGCTAACCTAATTAGGATTCATGTACCAACGCTACATATGCAGCTACATATGCAGTAATGAGAGAGAGAGAAATCAGGGAGAAAAAGAGAGCCATTTCATGTCACATTTGTGGTACAAAACTGTTAATTAAACCATTTACCACCGACCGATTTAAAAAACCTTTTAAATCATTAGGCTTTGTCAGAGTTTTGTTGAAACTATACCAAAAAAAGAGTCCCATAACTCTTACCGTTTTCTTGATTAAGCTGCTCGGAAATTACACATGCACACACAGACAGACACACAGAAAAAGTACAGACACACGTTCGGGGGGTATCCAATGGTGAAAAATGATGAAAAATTGTGAATGATTTTTAAGGTGAATCGGGTTTCCAAATTGTAAAATTTCGCCATTTTTCACCATTTTTTCGATGAGTATATTTGCCTTCTAGTTTTAGTTTTGACCTCTAAAACAATATTTCGTTATTTGCTCAGATTTTGAGGATATAAAGAAACAATTAAACATGTGTTTCATTATATTTAAAGTACGTCTAGGTATTACAATTCGGAAACTCGAATCACCAACACTGTCAATCACAATTTTTCATAAAAAACTAGTGAACATGGTGAGAAAGGTACATTGAAACTGGTAACTTTTGTTGAATATGGTGAGAAAGGTACATTAAACTGGTAACTTTTGGTGAATATGGTGAAAAAGGTACATCGAAACTAGTCATGTTAATTGCTGATCATGCAATGGCGAACTAGTAAACTATGTGTAGCATACTTGTTCGTTATTAAATAGTTTTTCATAAATTTTTGGATAACCAAAGTTAAGAGACGTATATATTAGCACATTTGTAGTCTGATAAAATTTAAAGTTTTGGTGTGTGAATTAAAGCTTGGTGTGAGAATTAGTGTGGAAATAAAAGAGATTTATTTTTTACATCATATATCTTAATTAAGTGACAGTAAGTATTATTATTTTAACTAAAGATTATATTATTTCAGTTAGTATTGACATGAATGTTACGATTTCAGTTTATTTATATATTACATTGTCAATAAACCGGTTTCAAAGCCCTTAAGGGTGGCCCTCGGGTCTTTAAAACAAAAATTTAGATTAATTCGATGTATTGTGTATTGGGTCCAAGTAATTGCGGAAAAGTATTTAATAAGAAATGTTAACAGTTCAACCATTGACGAGTCCAAACCGGCGCGCGTTTTGGTAGGTTATAAACCTGCAAGTGATTTATGCAATTAATCGAACCTTATTAAAATTCGTAAGCCGTGAATGAATGGGAAAATCGAGCGACCGATTTTTGATATCATTCTCGGTATCATTTTGCATTTGCGGACGGTTATTCAAATTAATATTATTTCTTTTCGTTTGGGAAATAAAAAGGAACACTGGCAGCTGTTTGACCATTGTTAATGATCTGGCCCGGCGCGCGCTACTTCGTAACACTTGCCGTCGAGAAGAAAGCGGCGCGCGCTACTTCGAAGAAATTTAGACGAGTAACATCCGTCAAGCAGCTGTACACTTTACTGTTAAGATGCGTACTCGGATTTCAGCACGACAACTTACTTAACGGCCTATTTACTGCTCCAATTTTCCATGACTTCTAGAGATTATTTATTTATTATATTTCATTAAATTGTGATGGTATTAATTTAACTACGTATAATGGGCTCCTTTTAACTAGAGTATGGATATTCAGGTTCCGATATTATGGAATACCTCCCGGTTTGGGACTCACTCAGGGCATAGTTCAAACCCAAACTCTCAGTGTACGATGGTAGATTTATGACAGGAATTTATGTTATAATTATGGACTTCGAACCTTTAGGTTAATTTATATCTAGAGTTTTAACTTCGAACTTTTAGAGGAATTTATATCTGGAAGATAACCAATTAAAACAAGTGAATAAGTAAAGGATTGTAAAATAATGCAAGACCAATCCAATCGTACATAAAATAAGTGTTCAATCTCATGGTAAAGTCCGTTACCCTAAATCAGTTGGGTAGCTGGGTGATCAATGGGAACTGGTGTGTATTATAACGGGCTGGCTGACTCTCTCTCTGGACGATGGACAGGTAGCTGCTATATCATGGCTACGTTCCTTCAATGCTGCCAACGAGGGCAGAATCCGTGGGAGGGGAATGTCCTAGAAAGGGACAAATTATTAGCAAATGACGGATTAATTAAAGACAATAATATACTAACTAGGATAAAATTAAACATGATAAAGTTAAATTAGAGTGAACTGTAGAATACGAAATATGTAAGAACTTATCAATAAATGCTCAAATGACTTACGAGGTAATAATGTAGGTGCTGCTAAGGTTAGGACAAGCAAACAGGTAGGATAGGGTCACCACAATATTACCTAGGAAATGTATAAACCTATTAGAATTTAATTATTAACCTATCGGAAATGACTCTAGTATTACGAACAATGTGAATCAATAAATGGGAAATAACATTGCAATGAACAACATCTAATTAATGGTTTAATAATTATAAAAGCTATACCTCGAGGAACAAACTTCCTAGCCTATCAGGAATTCAACAGAAGCGACGGGAACCAATTACAATGATCTGGCATGACGTTAGGAAAATCTGGTGAAAATAACGGATAAGTATTTTACCCGCATATTATGATACTTGCACAGAACTTGAACTCACGGATTTAATCTTAACCTAATTATGCATGATATTGATACGGTCTTAGGAACAAAATACTAAGGTCAATCATTTAAAATAAAGGATTACAAACCTATTTATGAAACTAGTGACGTCGGAGAGAGCGCAGCATACTAACACCCGGGCCGTGTAAGGAAAACCAATCATAGGAGAGGCGTTCGGAAAAAGACTAAAGGCAGACGGCCCTGAGAATCTTGTGTGTTCATCTTTTGTAGTCTAGGTGTTCTGTGGAAGAGGAGCTCCAGTGGAAGAGGCGGTCCACGCGTTATCCAGGAGAGTTGCAAACAAACAGGTTATTGCAAACAGGTTATTGCAAACAAACAGGTTTAATAATACAAATACAGGTTTTTAAAAACTGGTTAAAATATTGTTCCACTAATTGATGAATTCAATAACTCTATTATCCAATAATTTCTTTGTAAATAATTCTAATAACACTAAATGTCCTTTCTGACCAATGGCTGCAGTGTTCTGCAAACCTCTCGAATCAGATCTTAATCATATAAATGATCACTTAATTCATCTTAATCATATAAGTTCTCACCTAATTCATCTTTATGACACTTTATGTTACGGTGAATATTTGCAAATTTACATGGTTTATTTACCATTTTAATCCACATATTTACAAATCTAATTACTACTAACGCAGCATACTGAGGTTCAACTTAACTTCTAGTTCTGAGGTACTACGCACGTCCCTAACATGTCCCCGATCGATTTTAGGACGTCCCCGTCATAACAACCCCATCTATAATTTAAGAACTTTATAAAATGATGCCCTTTCCTTTAATCGTTTTTTAAAAAATCGTACATTTAAAAACTACTTGAAAAACTAACTATCTTTTCTTCAAAACAAACTCTAAATTCTTGGGCATAAGGTTTGATAAAATTTAATATAACGGGTGGATCTGGATTTCTAGGAATATCCGGACTAATTAAATTTTCACAGAGAATTTCGGAATTTCTAAGAAATGTAGAGCCACTAATGCCATTATCAGGAATTAAAGGATTTCCAGGAATCTGGTATAAATGTTGGTGTGTCATGATTAAAATATACAGACTTGTTGCCACAAGCTTCAATAAATTAATTTTTTAATAAAAGAAAAAAAAAGAAAGAAAATATATACATGCCCACAACTTAATACCTATAATTAAAGTCATTGTCCTCGTGGTCATTGTAGTGGTCATTGTAGCGTGCATCTTGGCTGCTGAAAGCCATGTTGTCAAAGTTGTTGGACTGTTGTCCATAGTAATTTATGTTAGGTAGTCCGATGCTTACCACTTCTGGTCTTCGACCTCCTGTTACATTTCAACTGCTTCTATTCAATCATAACTTTTAATTTTTATGCACCCTTACTTACTTATTTATTCTTACTTAATCATTATGTGTAACCAGGCGCAGTCTGAGCTGACCCCATTTCCGCAGTTTAAAGAACTGCCCATTGCTTCCCAAGGTTCACTTTTTAATCCCCTTGATCACAACAGCTACATTCGCTTACTAACTGGACGATCATAAAGACCAAGTCGCTTTTAGCTTATGTAGGCCCGACTGTACATTGAGCAGATCACGCAACCTTTTACATAAAAGGATGTTACGCATATGTGAACCTACCGGCAAGGGACCCAGTCTGTAGCGATGGATGACCAGTAAGTGGGATTGGCACTCCTAGGTTCCACCGACGGTCTGACCCATAGAGGACTTAGCTGTCACAACTATGAACTTTGACCGTTTTCTCTTGCCTTGCCTGTTCACTAGATCTTATCTTCCAAATTTTTATTTACTCCCTTTCTGGGTAATTTTCCACCTTTGTGGGGTTCAAAAAGATAAGATACTAGCTAGGTGTGGACTGTCGTCCACGTACCACCGTGTTCCACTTGCCTGGGGACGTATGTCCAGTCCTGGGGGTGACAAGCTCCAGGTACTGAACACCAGGTAGCCCGAAAACACGGCCGACTAGAGGGTACCAAGGCAGTGTGTTAATTCACACTTCGTTAGACACGGGAGCCTTCAGTTACTCTCCAGCACTATATTACGATTTAACGTGTCCCCGGATCCTCGCGGATCCGCCTCCCCCTGTTACACGCTGGGATTATAAGGAGCTCATCCCTCTTCCCAACGTGATCCTTGGTAATTGTATGGGAGATTGAGGCCATTATTGTAAGCGGGAGTATCGGTATTTGGGTTTACAGGCTGAACTTCACGTGGTGCGACTTGGCTGATTGCATTAACAGATAGTAAATCTATAATAGTGTTTAACTTATTGGTCGTATCATTAATGTCCGGCGTGACGGCTGTATCCACAGCGTTGACAGCTTGGGTCCTAGATAGGGAAGCGTTTTTGCAGTTGATCAGCAGGTCTGCCCTCTCTAAAAGTTGTTCATTTTGAAGCTCAGGTGTTTCTCTAAGTCTGGCACTGATATTGGCATCCTGTATGTTATTTATGAAGCTATCTCTTAGTGCATTGTCCCTCACAAGTACTAACTCGTCTCCGGGGTAGGCCTTCTTAGCAATGTTGTACAATTTAATATAGAAAGCTTTCACAGACTCATTACGTTGGCGCAGGGTCTTCCTCAGTAAAGACTTCGACTCTTCCCTATTTCCTCCTCCGATCCCTAATTCTCTCCTCAGCACTATCAACAATTCCTCAAAGGTGATCTCTGGTCTTATATGCCTCTCTACCGCGAGTAGACACTCATCGGATAAGCAATTTATGAGAATGTGGGGTATCTCGTTATCTCTAGCTCCGATACTATCGACATAGCTCTGAAAACGCCGGATGTATAACTCTAAGTCATTGTCCATTCTTAACAAAGGAGGTGCTCGGAGAAATTGAAGTGGGGCTCCTTGATTAACACGATTTTGCCTAGGAGGTATCGGAGGTTGAACTTCACCCTGTCCAATATCGAGGATGTCATTATCACGTTCGGCCATTCCTATTTATGAATATTAGAGGTAATTACTTAAGCTAATGTGTTCAAATAATGTATAAGAGCATTGCAAAAAATTTTTTAACTATTTGTAAGCATCATGTGTACTATATGTGAAAAGAATGCTAGAGAGATGCAGGATTTTGGTAAGAATAGGCAGTTAACTTAAATTCGCGCAACTCCGGAAGTTTTGGAATCTTACTCGGTGAAACTTATTCCACAAGGTTGCAAACTTAACGCGAGTTGAGGAACATTCACACAATGGTCACCAGAGACCTAATTGCGGAGTTACCCCAACAAGGCCTTTCATGGCAGTCTACTTCCAGACTGGAACTTCGAAACACCTAACTTCTTAACTTAAAGGCGCAAAATTCCAAGCTTCAACAAACAAATAATTTAGAATAATCAAATAGCAATAACTACGGCTGATGATCAATAACTCCATTTTCGTTTCTTGCTATTATGATACTTTATAGTAATGACACGTTCATGACCGATCAAATTTTTATAGTGCATTTTCTCACAAAAGCATGGCCTCAAAATATCTGCAAATAATTATCTATTGAAATGATTAAATAGTGTATGTGGAGCTATTGAACATCACCGGACAATGTTAAAACTTGTGTTGTGCGAATTTCCCGGTCTACATTTCTAAAAATAACTATAAGCTTCCAACTACACGTAAAAATAATCTTGACTAAAATTTAAGAACAATAAACTAATTTGGCTATTCTTCGCACTTCTGGTCTTCGACCTCCCGGTTTGGGACTCACTCAGGGCATAGTTCAAACCCAAACTCTCAGTGTACGATGGTAGATTTATGACAGGAATTTATGTTATAATTATGGACTTCGAACCTTTAGGTTAATTTATATCTAGAGTTTTAACTTCGAACTTTTAGAGGAATTTATATCTGGAAGATAACCAATTAAAACAAGTGAATAAGTAAAGGATTGTAAAATAATGCAAGACCAATCCAATCGTACATAAAATAAGTGTTCAATCTCATGGTAAAGTCCGTTACCCTAAATCAGTTGGGTAGCTGGGTGATCAATGGGAACTGGTGTGTATTATAACGGGCTGGCTGACTCTCTCTCTGGACGATGGACAGGTAGCTGCTATATCATGGCTACGTTCCTTCAATGCTGCCAACGAGGGCAGAATCCGTGGGAGGGGAATGTCCTAGAAAGGGACAAATTATTAGCAAATGACGGATTAATTAAAGACAATAATATACTAACTAGGATAAAATTAAACATGATAAAGTTAAATTAGAGTGAACTGTAGAATACGAAATATGTAAGAACTTATCAATAAATGCTCAAATGACTTACGAGGTAATAATGTAGGTGCTGCTAAGGTTAGGACAAGCAAACAGGTAGGATAGGGTCACCACAATATTACCTAGGAAATGTATAAACCTATTAGAATTTAATTATTAACCTATCGGAAATGACTCTAGTATTACGAACAATGTGAATCAATAAATGGGAAATAACATTGCAATGAACAACATCTAATTAATGGTTTAATAATTATAAAAGCTATACCTCGAGGAACAAACTTCCTAGCCTATCAGGAATTCAACAGAAGCGACGGGAACCAATTACAATGATCTGGCATGACGTTAGGAAAATCTGGTGAAAATAACGGATAAGTATTTTACCCGCATATTATGATACTTGCACAGAACTTGAACTCACGGATTTAATCTTAACCTAATTATGCATGATATTGATACGGTCTTAGGAACAAAATACTAAGGTCAATCATTTAAAATAAAGGATTACAAACCTATTTATGAAACTAGTGACGTCGGAGAGAGCGCAGCATACTAACACCCGGGCCGTGTAAGGAAAACCAATCATAGGAGAGGCGTTCGGAAAAAGACTAAAGGCAGACGGCCCTGAGAATCTTGTGTGTTCATCTTTTGTAGTCTAGGTGTTCTGTGGAAGAGGAGCTCCAGTGGAAGAGGCGGTCCACGCGTTATCCAGGAGAGTTGCAAACAAACAGGTTATTGCAAACAGGTTATTGCAAACAAACAGGTTTAATAATACAAATACAGGTTTTTAAAAACTGGTTAAAATATTGTTCCACTAATTGATGAATTCAATAACTCTATTATCCAATAATTTCTTTGTAAATAATTCTAATAACACTAAATGTCCTTTCTGACCAATGGCTGCAGTGTTCTGCAAACCTCTCGAATCAGATCTTAATCATATAAATGATCACTTAATTCATCTTAATCATATAAGTTCTCACCTAATTCATCTTTATGACACTTTATGTTACGGTGAATATTTGCAAATTTACATGGTTTATTTACCATTTTAATCCACATATTTACAAATCTAATTACTACTAACGCAGCATACTGAGGTTCAACTTAACTTCTAGTTCTGAGGTACTACGCACGTCCCTAACATTTACCCATAATTATGGATTTTGGTTTCACATAGTCATGTGTATACGCGTACTGCGTGACGCGCTTGTTTCACAAGTAGAATATACTTTATGCCGCCTTCGGCGGTCGCGCGCTACTGCAAGGCGCAAGTGAGAGGGCTCTGGTTAGAGCAAGATTTTGGTCAAATTGATGTATAATGTAATTTAGAATTAGAACTGTAAAGTAATAACGTATGATGGCCATTGCCATTAAATTGTATTGCCAACTGTTTGATCCAATAAATAATATTAAGTATTCAATACGTTTCACTTTCGTTTAAGTAATTTCAGTTTGCATTTACGGTGCATTTTATATTTTCTCAAAATGTCTGGCCTGAGGCAAGTACTACGAAGTAGCGCGCGCCGTGGACAACGGAACTACGAGCTGGAACAAATTTAACTGGTATAGTCAAAACAAGTTTTGAGTTTGAAGTTAGACATTATAAATTTACAGTGAACAGTGAAGGCGCGCACTAAGCTAGCTTCGTAGCAATTGCATAGTTTTTCGAGAAAAAAGCAGCGCGCGCTATTTCGAAGAAATTTAAATAAGTTAAGTTATTAACGGGTGATACTCGTAAAATATTTGTTCCATATATACAGGACCGTCGACGAGTCCAACTCGGCGCGCGTCCTGGTAGGTTGTAAACCTACACGTTAAGTTATCATCCGTCAAGTCACGTGGTACAAAATATAAATGTTAAATATACTGTTTATATGTTTCACCAGCTGGGGACTTTTGGCTTTTGTAATTGTGTTCATAGACACAATTAAGCCGTGCGCCATCGACCGTAAGACGCGCGCGCTGACCATTGAATGGTTTTTTAACTCGTATTTCGGCCAGCATATTATTTCGGAAACAATCAAAAAGTTATAATACTTCCCATATAACAATTTTGTTGAAATTTGGTCAGCTTACGTAAACATTTATGTTCTACTGAACCTAAATTAGTTTGAGCAATTTCGAATGTCAGAATTTGAGTTGCTCTAACCAGAGCCCTCTCGCTTGCAGTAGCGCGCGACCGCCGAAGTCACGCAGTACGCGTAGACACATGGCTATGTTAAGAATTTGAGTTATCAACGAATTTATACCTATTTTCAATTTTGTCATTTTTAGACCTCTTAATCAATGCCAATCTCTTCCAGCTAATGTATGACAAATTTGGAACTGTGAAAATTCTTCCCCCTCGTAACAACGATAAAAACCACCTAGTGAAAAGACCGTGGGGGTCACGACGTGAACAGGAATTAAACAGGAATTAAACAAAATTGGGTCAAACGGCAGATGCTTGTATCACGTTGCGACCCCCACGGTCGTGCGCGGTGGGTCATACAACGTATGACAAGCAGATGCCGTGTCTGACCAATATAGGAATAGAAGGTTTAATATTCAAAACTACCCCAATGTAACGACAAACGAATAACCAAACAAGGTGGTAAAAGTAGAACGTGATACACAAAATTCTCAGTCTCTAGAAAACATTGTCATACGTTGTATGACCCGCTGCGCACGAGTGCGCGGCTCCCCCTGTATCGTCGAAACTCTACTATAGTGAAGCGACCGTGGGGGTCACCACGTGATACAAAGAAAACAATAGTGCTACCTTGTTCACGTCACCATGTAATCAACAACCAACCCCCCCCCCCCCCCCCCCCCCTCGGCTGATTACGCAATATGTGAACGACCCCTTAGTTCATTGTTCATAGTTGGTGGCGCCAAGTAAAACTCATTAATAAGGTGGCGTCAAACAGTTTATTAATATCATTTCAGTCCAAAAATCAATCAAGGTCATCACATTTTAAAGATCATATCTTGAGCACCATAGGTCTTGAAAGATAAACACTGTTAACAATTGAAGTGAAGAACGTTAATGTTATCATATTATTACAACTTGAAATTTGATTTTGATTATTATCATTAAAACCAATATTTTGGCAAATTAAAACATTTGAAGATAAAATAAGCCAAATCTGCCTGATATTTTAAATTCATTTGCGCTCATTAATGTCTCGACTCTTGACTTTAACACGATTAAAAACTTAGTTACTGCTACATGTACAAAAGTGAAGCGGTAGTGAATAAAGTTACTTTTAAATAACTAAGTGAAGAACGTTTCTCAATTTGTAAGACGTACTTAAATTAATGATTAAAACTGATCCTGTGATCATCGACCTGTAATCGCGTCGAAACTGCGAGGTTACCTTGATGCTATGTAGTTTAATTTCATTTAACATCAATTCTGACAATCAATCATATAGAAAAGTCCAGGAATAATAACAATCACGCCTAGATCTTATCACGTGATGCTGGTTTCTGTGCACGTGTGCGCGGCTCAACACCCGGCTTATTCAGTGGAATAAACTCCACTGTGGGACAAAGTCAAAGTCTGAAAAGAGGTCTTGGTCGGCGGCCGTGATGGGGCGCGCGTCCCGTGGCGGCGTCAGCACCGCATCTTCTTGCGTAAACTCCTCGTCAAAGTTACTCACATCATATTTTCCTCGCTGAAGATTTTTGTGAGTTAGGTTATTAATCAGTTTGAAAACCGATGACAATCTTACTCCTAAAATCACTTATAACACACTATTGATCAGCCACCAACAATCAGCCCATAAAAACAAAGATCTCACAATAATTGGTTTAAAAGGAGGAGTAATCCTCCTGGCTAGGAGCTGCTCCCAATCAATCTGCCTGAAGAAAGCTTGTTTCTTCACATCCTCAGCATCCTTTTCACTTGCTCCGAGCCTCCGTTCAGGGTCTCGTCTTAAGAGTCGCCTCATTATAGCAACACTCTCGTTACTTAGGAATTTGGGATAATGTACCTGCGGAATTTGAATTCAAATGTCAAATCATTATAGTAGTTGGATCTCATTGTTGTGGGCACGGGTCACATAACTCAAAATGTCTAACATCAACAGCCTGGCAAACACGTGTTCAGGATTAAAGAAACGGGCTCGTATAAAAAGGTAATTGTTGCCTGTTGAAATAGTAAAATTTCCAAACCTCATCGTTGACGATGCTGTCAAACACTTCTTCTTCATCGTCCCCAGGGAAGGGACTCTCTCCAACCAACATCTCGAATATGAGGACCCCCAGTCCCCACCAATCAACTGCCCTCGTGTACGTTGTCTCTGTTAATACCTAAAGTTGAGGGGAGAAGTTCTTACAAAATAATTTGAGAAAAATAGGGGAAATGAGTCGGTCAAAGTGAATATTGAAACAAATTCATAACAAATATTGGGCAAATATTATATTCCCTATCGCTCTTTACTTTTGGGCAATTCCACCGTGACGGACACCACGATTTTGCTATTTTTAAAAGTTCAAACGAATGTTGTGCTCGGGATGTTGCTTATTTATCAGCTTCAACTGCTTATTAGTCCACATTTAACCTTTTAACAGGTTGTGTGAAAATTTTAGACCACTACCATTATTACTTTCTGAGATAGCACCCCTGTGACGGACGTGACATAAATATGACACTTTTTTGGGTGTCTAATTAGATTGTACCCAAATCTATCTCAAAAAGTGATCTATTGACTCTAATTTGTAATTGCAATGATAGAAGAAGGTTTAGGGATTTCTGAGACGCCATTTTCTTGCAGTTTGCTCAATTATTGTTTGGCATGGCGCCATTTTCAAATTGTGACGGACGCACGTTTTTTTCAAATTTTTCCAAATCTTCCACTTGACAATTTTATCTTGTTCAGTGACCTTTATTCTGTATTTATGCCAATTTTTAGGCCTCAAGTACTTCCATGAGGTCTGCAATAGCCAAAATCGTCCATTTTGGGCATACGCTAGGGTATCAATCTAGGGGCAGCAATTATTTCTCTACTTGAACAAATTTATAACTCTGATAAAGCATTCATCTCTGTTCAACACATGATCATACTGTTGAGACCATATCCCAAAAGTCTCATTACTTTAGTGTTTAAAATGTGAAAGATATTGAATTTTTACTTCAAAAATATGCGAAAATAGGGTAAAGTCCATTTCTTGTGCCTTTTACCTCTGAAAAAGTTTAAAGCAAATAAAATGGCAAAAACTCAGTAAATTTAATTATTGAATTGCATATGATGTTATTTGATAGTCTAGTCAACATAGTCGAACCTTATTTGACTTCAATTTGTCTTATTTGGGACCCCCCTTCCTTATTTGCCCATATATGGGCATATACAAAATTATACATAACTCGGTCATTTTCTGTCCAATTTTCGATTTGACGACATCGTTTTGTTAAGAACGGTCTCAGCTTTAACAAAAATGCATTTAAAGTCTGTTTAAAGAATTTTTGGAGCATTTTCAAAAAAAATGTGACGGACGCGACAAGTTGGGACCCCCCTTCCAAGGCTACATCAAAACTGGTAACTTTGGGGGAATAAAGACAAAGCTACATCAAAACTGGTTAACTACTGGGGAATATGGCAACAAAGCTACATCAAAACTGGTAACTTTGGGGGAATAAAGATAAATCTACATTAAGGGGGGTTCACCCTGATTTTTTTGTGAAACTTGGTTTCGAGTTGACCAACATTTCCAACAAACTACGACCGGTGACCGAACTTTTGAAGGGGTCTCGGACCCCAACCGCCAAACAGTGCCCGCGGGGCAGCCACGCCCATATTTTAGGTGCTCTACTTGTAGCTAATGGTCCCCTGAACTCGTATATGAATTTTCATCAAAATTGGGGAAAAAAATGACTGAGTTATGAGCCAAAAACCATATGCCCATATTTGAGCATACGCACCAAATTTGATCGATTTTGGCCCATAAATTGGTCAAATATCAATATTTTTGAATGGAAGGTAAGCATATACTACACAATCTCTATGATTATCAGCTCAGTATCTACCTAACTGTGGATTCTGTGTTCAAATAATCGCAAATATCGCGAACTGAGATATGGGCGATTTTGTTCATTTTTTGCGATTATTTGAACACATAATCCTGCAATCTCGAAACCGAGTTTCACAAAAAAATCAGGGTGAACCCTCCCTTAAAACTGGTAAATTTTAGGGTACAACGAAGCTACATCAAAACTGGTAACTTTTGGGGAATACAGCAACAAATCTACATCAAATCTGGTAAATTTTGGGGAATATGGCAACAATGGCAACTGGTAACTTTTGGGTGAACTTGGCAAGTAAGGTACACCAAAAGTGGTAACTTTTGGGTGAACATGGCAAATAAGGTGAACCAAAACTGGTAACTTTTAGTGACCATGGCGAGTAAGGTTCATCGAAACTGAGCTCTTGGTACCCATTTATTATTTTGATTTGATAGTTTGAAAATAAAAAACTAAAATGGTGAAAAATGGTGAAAAATGGTGAAGGATTTTCTGGTGAATCGGGTTTTCAATCGTAAAATTTCCCTATTTTTCACCATTGGATACCCCCCAGAAGAGATAGGTTACATTGATTTTTTGAATATAAATAGCACTCGTGGCCCAGTTAAGTCGATACGACCACTGACCCTGCTGAATGTTTCTAGAAAGATCCTGTCACTGATAGTGCTAAACAGAATAGAGAGAGCTGTGGACAACTTCACCGGACCGTTCCAAGCTGCCTACAAAGCTGGCAGGAGCTGTGCCGACCTAGTTTGGGCACAGAGCATGCTCATATCTGTAGTAATGAAGAAGGAGTTTGAATGGAACAAAGTGAGTATTGACATGTCAGCTGCCTTCAATACCATCCGCAGAGGTACAACAATCAGACTACTAGAAGCTGCAGGATGCTCCAGAGACGACCTGAGGCTTGTACAATACCTCATGGCTAACACCACTCTAGTAGTCAGAGTGTGTTCTACTGACTCAGAGATGTTTTCTTTCAACATAGGAGCCTCCCAAGGAGACAGCACAGCTGGTAAATTGTTTACCCTCAATCTAGCTGGAGCTGTAGTGCACATAAGAGCAGTCCTCCCCTCAAGACCCACCCCTCCGATAGCCGATAACCACATGCCTCTTGAGTCCGGCTATTCAGACGATGTAGAGAAGATTGGTGAAGATATGGAGGAGTTACAGGATATCTTTCAGATCTCCAAGAATATTCTCAGTGAATGGAGTCTCTTTGTCAATGACACAAAGACAAAGTTTACCAGAGTGTATTTAGAAGAAGTTGGTGCCTGTGACGAGTGGGATAATGAGCTAAGAGGAAAAGAGGAGTGTAGAAACGAGACGCTTCTTGGTACTAAGCTTGGATCAGAGCAGGATGTTACTAATAGAATAAATAAAGCTAACACCGCCTTCTGGTCATTTGACAAGCTGTGCTGCCAGGGATCAGAGAGGAGTCAGATAACTGAGAAGAGAAAGATCAAACTCTACGACTCACTAGTAGTATCAGTGCTCCTGTACAACTGCTGCTGCTGGGCCGTACCTCAGCATGTTCTAGAGTCTGTAGATGTTGTTCAAAGGAAGCACCTCAAGCGCATCCTACACATCTATTGGCCTAGCTCAATATCTAACAAGGCCCTCTACGCTCGTACCCAGACCAGGCCCCTTTCCGAGAGAGTGGAAAAGGCACGGTGGACAATACTAGGTCATGTTCTACGCAGTGACAACGACACGCCTGCCTACCAGTCTCTGTTATTTGCTACACTAGGATGTCAAACGCTAAAGGGACGAGTGGGTAGACACAGGACTAATTTGTATGATATTATTGTGAAAAAGGACCTATTTAAGAGACAAATTTATTTGAAAAATGAAGATGATTTTACCAACTTAGTGAACTTAGCAAGAGATAGAGTAGGATGGAGGAGTTTATTTACTTTGAGACATATTGAACGAATGAGTCTTCGTAAGCGTAAATAGGCCAGCACTTTGCTGAGCCTCTTTAGGTGCTCTTTTGTTTATATAGATGTGGCAACTTGGTCGTTTAGCTCCGGACAGTCTATGCAACGTCTATGCAACGTCCATGCAACAACAAAAGAACCGTCTATGCAACGTCTATGCAACGTCCCTGCACAATGAACACTCTATGCACACTCCCTGCACGGTCAGTCTATGCAACGTCTATGCAACGTCTATGCAACGTCCCTGCACAGTACCATATGAACACCGGCTACTAGCCGGCTAGTAGCCACTTTTGTAATAACAGCTCCTCAACTTCACATTACCAACCGGCTACTAACCGGCACTTGAAAAGTGGTCACTAGCCGGCTACTAACCGGCTACTAGCCGGCTAGTGACCACAAAGTGGCTACTAACCGGCTACTAAGCGGTCACTAGCCGGCTATTAGCCGAGCTCTAAAGCAGACCTACTAGTAGCCGGTTCCAAACCGGCTACTAGCCGGCACTTAGAAAGCGGTCACTAGCCGGCTACTAACCGGCTAGTAACCACCAAGTGGCTACTAACCGGCTACTAATAGGTCTGCTTTAGAGCTCGGCTAATAGCCGGCTAGTGACCGCTTAGTAGCCGGTTAGTAGCCACTTTGTGGTCACTAGCCGGCTAGTAGCCGGTTAGTAGCCGGCTAGTGACCACTTTTCAAGTGCCGGTTAGTAGCCGGTTGTTAATGTGAAGTTGAGGAGCTGTTATTACAAAAGTGGCTACTAGCCGGCTAGTAGCCGGCTAGTAGCCGGTGTTCATATGGTACTGTGCAGGGACGTTGCATAGACGTTGCATAGACGTTGCATAGACTGACCGTGCAGGGAGTGTGCATAGAGTGTTCATTGTGCAGGGACGTTGCATAGACGTTGCATAGACGGTTCTTTTGTTGTTGCACGGACGTTGCATAGACGTTGCATAGACTGTCCGGAGCTAAACGACCAACTTTGCATACCTCCTAATTCTTATGCCTATGCCTGAGTGTATGGAATCATAGATAAGTATTGCTGCATACCCAAACTATGGCCTTTGAAAATTATAATGATTTTTTCATTTCCGAGTAGTGTTCCTTTGAATGAGAAAAAATACAAGTTAACGCAATATGAAACGAAAAACTTTGTTGACCTGTAAGGTTAAGAGTCTAATGCACATATACTAACCAAAATTAGGTGCCTATCTTAACATTTTTCATCTTCACCAAGTGGAAACTTACCGTGGGATTGCCCTTTTGTATCATTTTATTCGTTTTAAATGAGAGAAATTCCGCTAAAAGAAATATCCTTACCTCAGGAGCAAGAAACTCGGGGGTTCCACAGAAAGTACTGGTTCTGGCACCATGGGGCATGCCATCTTTACACAAGCCAAAGTCAGCCATCTTCACGTATCCATCATAGTCCAGCAGCAAATTGTCCAACTTTAGATCTCTGAACAAATAGTTTTGAGTGAGGTCTTTGCGATCGCAATTTGCTATGGCATAATGTATATTGTTGATTTGTCAACACTGATATAATGATGTATTTTAGTCCCATATCTGAGTATTTCTCGAAAGATAATCCAATTTTAAAAATATTTAACTGCCATTTGGAAGGTTATTAGTCACACAAACTCCCTACTTAACGGTTTCGGAAGCGTTTAAACTAATTATACCGTTTAAAATTGATTACACCGGGCATGAGTGATCCCACAGAGAAAACCCTCAAATATCCAGTTACCTGTAAACAATAGCATTATCGTGGAGATACTGGAGCCCGAGCACGACACATGCAGCGTAGAAACACGCGCGGCTCTCACTGAACACGTCCGTGTGTATATGCATCATGAGGTCCCCGCCCGGCGCGTACTCCATCACAAAACACACGTGGGAATCTGTCTGTGAAAAATAATATGTTACAAGTATTATATATATATGGTAACATATTATATATGGTAACATTTTGAGTATGATAAAAATCATAATATTATGAAGTGTTGCCATTTAGAATCAAAATTAGCTGAATCCTCAGATGTCTGCGCTCGAGTAAACCGATTACAGGAATTAAAATTCCTCAAAATTAAAGTTTAAAACAATATGTTTTTTCCTCATAAAACTCTTACCTGGAAGCAGGCATGCATGTTCACAAGGAATGGATGCTTGTTCTGATTCGCTATCTGGAATATCCTCTTTTCGCTCAGCAAAGATTCGACCTAGCAAGGAGAGGGAAATTTGTTTTCTATTAAACTACATCCCTAACAAGACAAAACCTGTCTTGTTTGGAATTATGAATAATCTCGCTTGGTAAAAGTTGATTTACCACGGAGATTTAAATTTGTTTTCTATTGGGCACATTCCAGCACAAACTAGACGCTTTAATAAAACAAAATTTAAAACACAGCTTGAGACAAATTTATTTGGACGTACTTCATCTCTAGCAATGACATCTCCCTTCTTCAGAGCTTTAATAGCAAACACTTCTTTGCCTTTTTTATATTCACATAGTAGAACTTTACCGAAATGTCCCCGTCCAAGCACAGACAAGCAGTTGAAGTCTGATATTTGAATACTTTCTGGCAATCTGAAGAAAAATTAGCTTATTAAACTGCAGAGACGAAAGACACTCGTGAAAAGCAAGGAGATATAATATAGGGCCCCTATCCCCATAGGGGCAAGGTTAATTAAGATTTCAGGTCAGTAAAAATCAGCACATCTCTGACTGTCGGATTTATTATCATTTTTACATCGATGAACTTATTATCATTCGGTCTCAATTCCCTCAAAATTTCGCTGAAAATAGTTTATCAACCGCAAAGAAACCTCGTTTGAAACTTGGGTTGATTTCAACATTGACCTTAATTGACCGGGTTGCAATTAAAACATGTGCTCCTCCATAAATATTATCAAAGTAGTGACCAAACCCCTAATTTCGGGGTCTACATATCTGTGCAAGAGCTAAAATTGGCAAAACTTTTTATCGAGCACCCAAAGTTCAGAAATTTCTCTATATGCTCCTTTTTGAATTTTGCAAATCGGTTGTTGGGAAGCAGAGTTATGGCTCGACCAGATCAGTGACGAATATATGTCCACATACTGAAGTATCGTAATAAAAGGGTTCGTAAAGACCACATGTTGGCATTGGTGAGTGCAGGCCGTAGGGTAACAACATCATGGGGAATTAATATTTTAGGAGTAACATATTAAATATATATAATAATATTAAATAATCTACAATAATCTTGCAGCACGGCTTAGAATAGCAAAATAAAAAGGTTTAACATTTAAAAATCACGAGATAATTCTTCCTTTTTGCGATGTTCTTACATTTTAACTGGGGAAGTTATCTCAGGTATAGTAGAATGGACACCGTTATCGGACTCATGTCCGTCTGATATGATCTCGCTAGATCTGCCCTTTACAGGGGCGGGCGTCGACTGACTCCTTTTGAGTATTAGGTTAGGATCCCTGCAGGGGAAGCTTGTTGTAAACCATGCACATGCCTGCACATGCCCTTAATTAGCCATCAGCACTGCTGAGCAGTGAGCACGCAAAATAAACAGTCAGCTCTAAAATGTTGAGAAGTGAGCAAGTAAAATAAGAGTCAGCTCTCCTCAATATTGAGTAGTGAGCGCATAAGCCATAAAATAAAGATTATGTTCCTTCAAACTAAGCAGTGAGCAATAAGATAAAACGTTTGCTGAAAGCAAATGCCATGCATTTCATAAACATGTTACTAAAAATTCACTCGAGAAGAAGTTATAGCATTAGCATTAGCGTAGCGACCGGATATTTTGTTTAAATGAACACGCCACTCACTCAGTCTGATCCACAATAACTGCCAAATGCGACTTATCGGTGGCCATCCGGTTGTGATTATTACTTTCTCCTTCCAGCGCGTCGTTTGCTCTCTTCAGAAAACGAGCCCATGTTGTTACATTTGTGTTAAGTTGGTTGACTCGCAGGATATTCCTTGCAGCTGAAAAAGTGTGTATTATCGACGGGTGTGAAGTTAGAATATTGAGTCGTTCGTTATGTGTAGGCTTCACTTAGGTCAAGAACCTGTATAAAGTTTTTTCACACCATGCTAGAACATTATATAAGTTGATAGGTCAAGCAAATAATGGCCTGATTGGCGATAGTCCAAGAATATAAGAGTTCGTACCTTTGTTTTTGGGGAATATTTTGCCTTGCCTTTGAAGTCTAATTCTGCCGGCTGCCCGGTCCACTACAGGATTCTCGAATGTAACCTGAGGGCAGAATGTGAGTCATTACACGCAATATTTAAGCAGCTAATCAGCGGACAGGAGTTCTTAATCGATAGCACTTATCACGTATTTTACAGCGATCACACGATATTTATTATGATGATCTTGATCGAAACTGATAGTGGCGCTCACTTAACATTTCAGCAAAATTACGATTAAAACGCGCGTGCGCGTGGACAACTCTGTGAAAATGTCAGATTTAGCTAGTACAAAAAGATGTTCTGCGGCGAGGTTTTCTTTTCCGCTACCACAGTCCACACGTTCCAAGCTTGTAAACTGTAAATTGCCTTAGATACCAGCTAACAAGCACAGTTTACCGGAGCCAATAGCTTCACTTTCTGTGTAATGCAGTTAAAAAATTATGCAATACCACAAGAAGGGATGCTTTCACTAGTTAAATAACAACTTACTTCTATATATAGTGTACCAAAAGGCTCGATCGGAAGTTCAATAAGTCGCTTTTCGTAGTCGAGAAAATCTTCAAGTTTGACGAAGAGAACACCCACCATGGGCTTATAGTGCCGCCAATATACATCCACTTCTAATTCTCGAGACTGAGAAATAAGGTTAGCAAGGTAAGTGTGGAGTCACTGTACGGACCTGACAGAATGGACAAATTTGACCAATATAACCACTTTTAACCGTGTGGGATATTACATGAGAATATCTCATTGTCTTAGAAGTAAAAATTGTAAAGACCTTGCTCAGATCAAATGAGTGCTGCTCGTCGTAGCATGTTTTATGTGGTGTTTTCCATGCGCTCTGGTACTGTAGATTATTGTCCAACTTGAACGCACATCTGCAATCATCTAAACAGAAACTTGCATTAGTCGCGCTGTGATAACATTATTACAATATATTATTATAATCTCGGATCCAAATATGTGCAACTCGCAAGACATTTTTGCAAAATTCCAGCAGCAGATTTTATTCGCAGGGTTTATAGTAAAGTGTGCTGTGTAATGAAAGCCCAAGACACAATATCATATTTCAAATGCTATCTTATAACAGGACAATTTCACACTTCAAAACTTCATTTCCGGGTTTGGAATATTCGCAAAACATTAGGATCACGAACAGTTTATGTTAATTAACGATACATAAAATATTTAATTTGAGTTAGCCGCACATATTATATGGTTATTGGACAGCTGTAAATGTACTTCTCAAATGACAAGTTTGCAATATGATCCACGGTGTTCATATACGACTGGTAATGGATATCATGAAATTTGTTAATACTTGAATAATGAATATGGGAAGATACTTCTGTAAAATCTCACATATTTTGGAAATACTTCTGGAATATTTCACATAACAAGGAAATACTCAGAATTGAGAGAGAAAGCTCGAGAAAGGCCATTAACGAACATCATTTTATCAGGAACGGCGCAGTTTGCAGTCAAGCTAAATCAGTAGAAGATAAGAACATTGTCTCGAGTCTCGACAAGTTCAGCAATCAAAAGTAGCAGTGCAGGAGTAACTAAGAAAAAGGAAAAGAAACCCAAACCACTTTTACCGCATCATATAGCGTGTAATCGACGACCACCACTAGGATACGTGTCACCAGTAACAACTGACTCATCAGATTGTGATGGATAGACAATTAAAAATTTGGTCCCCCCATTTTCAAATTTGTTATTATAACTGGGTTGATTTCTGAGTGATAACACTGCTTATCTTTTAACAGCAACACATTTTCCGGGTTACACGACGGATAAGGAGTTTGTTAAGTAGATACATATAACGGTTTTAATATTATTACATGGCACATTATACTTATAGGATCGAATTAATATTGTTATTAAAATGCTCATTGTAGCCATATATTTTAGATTTTCATCATCATCATACTGGACATTTTTTAGGAAAGCAAAAGCAAGAATATTTACTCATGTTCACATCCGGTTTTTGACTATTCGATAGGCATTTATTGAGTTGTGATAAGGAAATGAGCCTATCAGCTTACATAATTATGGTATTAATCAAAGCATGCGAATCTTAACAAAGATGAAGATAGACGTATACATAATATGGAATTGTGATTTATAAATTATAATTGGCCTTATAATTGAGTAAATATAAAAATATCATAAACTTCTAATTTTACTAGGTAATTTGTGCATTGTTGTGTAAATGTTTTTTGGCCTATCACAAAATGCAGCATAACTAGGTTTATTTAATTTGTTGAAGCATACCATGTCCATGTTAGTATATTTGTTAGTAACAACAATAAATATCTGTTAACCCGACACCGGTAGAACATTGCTGACTTTAACGAATATTTTTTAAATCTTGTGCGAGGTACAAATTACCCCTGATATTACCTTACCAGTTCTTACCTATTATTCAGGTACATTTCTGGGATGTTTAGATTAAACACTGCTGAGCATAAGTTCTATCTTAATAGTGGTGTTATTAAACTTCAATTTACTACAAGGGGGGGCCAAAAGTCGGTACCCATACGTTGGGTCTTATACCACCGCCGTGTTTTATATTTGAGAGTTGTTGCTTTGCAGATGGCATACTGTACCTACTTGTTCGAGGATTCCGTCACCAAAATTTGAAAATTCGATTTTTGGGGGCCACACCCAATTAACATTGAATTGCTTATACTCGTGTTTGTGAACATGTTAGAGATTCCGTTGTAACATATTGCAATAGGTAATTTAATCCGGAATATAATCTGAAAAGATGGTGCAAAACGGATTTAAAATGACGAAGTTATCAAGCAATTTGTTTATCTCGTTAGCAAAATTGATTGGGTACTCAATGATTACCCAATTACGACACCGTAACTGGGCTCTCTGCACGATTCCCATAATGCGGATCTAGCCTCAACCCAATCATCTGATCAAACGTAATGAACAAACTCGTTATGCTCGGTCATCTGAGAAGCTAGAACTCTCATTTTTTCAGGACAAACGTAATTTAAATGGCCAAACACCATTCAATAAAATTTGGCTCGATCCGACTATCCAAACTATCAAATAAATACGAAAATGAACCTTTATTTGCAAAAAATGAACACGAATATTTTTCGATTTGACAAATTCCTCGAACCAGTGGTGGTAGTAAGTCATACCAGAAAGAATTATTTCAATTGGGCACTCAGTGACTGAGCTATTAAGGACAACGTATGGGTACTGACTTTTGGCCCCCCCTCCCCTGTATTATTATTATTTATTTATATTAATCTATTTCCTATGATTTTCAGGATTCAAAGAATGTTATCTATACTATCTAAAGAACTATTTACTATGTGGGAATCGTCCAATGTTACAATTTGAAGTATTACGTGCCTTGTTGTTCTTCACACTTGGCCACTGTATCACTATGGTAACTATGGCCACTGTATCACTATGGTAACTATGGCCACTGTATCACTATGGTAACTATGGCCACTGTATCACTATGGTAACTATGGCCACTGTATCACTATGGTAACTATGGCCACTGTATCACTATGGTAACTATGGCCACTGTATCACTATGGTAACTATGGCCACTGTATCACTATGGTAACTATGGCCACTGTATCACTATGGTAACTATGGCCACTGTATCACTATGGTAACTATGGCCACTGTATCACTATGGTAACTATGGCCACTGTATCACTGTGGTAATTACTATGGCCACTGTATCACTATGGTAACTATGGCCACTGTATCACTATGGTAACTATGGCCACTGTATCACTATGGTAAACTGTCCGAGGGAAGATATCCAGCTAACACGTTCCCCTAAGCCTACAGGGTTAGTAGCACAACTTAGAATTACAGTATTTACTGAGTGCATATCACGTCATAAGCTCCGCATTTCACTTAAGCTCTGGAATCTTATTGGAATAACACTCGAACAACCCATTTGCTCTTCATAACCTAAGGTATGTTGTACGATAAAAACATTTTTAGAATGCTTCTAACTGAATTTCAGACTTAAAGGTCGCCCTGATTTAGTGATTTTTGTCAAAGTCTATTGTTTCCTCAACTTCCGTCTAGATGTTAATATAAGACACAAGACTAGACATTACATTACATAAGTTCCCGATCGGCGATCACCCTGTATTATCACCAATAAGACCTGTCAATAACAATATATGGGACATTTTGGTGTAATTCTCATCGGATTGATGTTAATTTTACTAGCATATTTTACTGGCATGCGATTCATTTTTTACTTATAATAATAAATATTGAGTCCCTATTGAGTAGTGAGAATCTTCAGCCAGATCTTCTGTACTGAGCTTCAAATCATAGCCAGCCAGTACTCTTAGACAACTAGTACTATGTTGAATGTTGAGAGTTGAAATACATGAGATGATGATTGATGACGTACTGTACCTCACGTACTGTACCTCACGTACTGTACCTCACGTACTGTACCTCACGTACTGTACCTCACGTACTGTACCTCACGTACTGTACCTCACGTACTGTACCTCACGTACTGTACCTCACGTACTGTACCTCACGTACTGTACCTCACGTACTGTACCTCACGTACTGTACCTCACGTACTGTACCTCACGTACTGTACCTCACGTACTGTACCTCACGTACTGTACCTCACGTACTGTACCTCACGTACTGTACCTCACGTACTGTACCTCACGTACTGTACCTCACACACTGTACCTCACGTACTGTACCTCACGTACTGTACCTCACGTACTGTACCTCACGTACTGTACCTCACGTACTGTACCTCACGTACTGTACCTCACGTACTGTACCTCACGTACTGTACCTCACGCACTGTACCTCACGTACTGTACCTCACGTACTGTACCTCACACACTGTACCTCACGTACTGTACCTCACGTACTGTACCTCACGTACTGTACCTCACACACTGTACCTCACGTACTGTACCTCACGTACTGTACCTCACGTACTGTACCTCACACACTGTACCTCACGTACTGTACCTCACGTACTGTACCTCACGTACTGTACCTCACGTACTGTACCTCACGTACTGTACCTCACGTACTGTACCTCACGTACTGTACCTCACGTACTGTACCTCACGTACTGTACCTCACGCACTGTACCTCACGTACTGTACCTCACGTACTGTACCTCACACACTGTACCTCACGTACTGTACCTCACGTACTGTACCTCACGTACTGTACCTCACACACTGTACCTCACGTACTGTACCTCACGTACTGTACCTCACGTACTGTACCTCACGTACTGTACCTCACGTACTGTACCTCACGTACTGTACCTCACGTACTGTACCTCACGTACTGTACCTCACGTACTGTACCTCACGTACTGTACCTCACGTACTGTACCTCACGTACTGTACCTCACGTACTGTACCTCACGTACTGTACCTCACGTACTGTACCTCACGTACTGTACCTCACGTACTGTACCTCACACACTGTACCTCACGTACTGTACCTCACGTACTGTACCTCACGTACTGTACCTCACGTACTGTACCTCACGTACTGTACCTCACGTACTGTACCTCACGCACTGTACCTCACGTACTGTACCTCACGTACTGTACCTCACGCACTGTACCTCACGTACTGTACCTCACGTACTGTACCTCACGCACTGTACCTCACGCACTGTACCTCACGTACTGTACCTCACGTACTGTACCTCACGTACTGTACCTCACACACTGTACCTCACGTACTGTACCTCACGTACTGTACCTCACGTACTGTACCTCACGTACTGTACCTCACGTACTGTACCTCACGTACTGTACCTCACGTACTGTACCTCACGTACTGTACCTCACGTACTGTACCTCACGTACTGTACCTCACGTACTGTACCTCACGTACTGTACCTCACGTACTGTACCTCACGTACTGTACCTCACGTACTGTACCTCACGTACTGTACCTCACGTACTGTACCTCACGTACTGTACCTCACGTACTGTACCTCACACACTGTACCTCACGTACTGTACCTCACGTACTGTACCTCACGTACTGTACCTCACGTACTGTACCTCACGTACTGTACCTCACGTACTGTACCTCACGTACTGTACCTCACGTACTGTACCTCACGTACTGTACCTCACGTACTGTACCTCACGTACTGTACCTCACGTACTGTACCTCACGTACTGTACCTCACGTACTGTACCTCACGTACTGTACCTCACGTACTGTACCTCACGTACTGTACCTCACGTACTGTACCTCACGTACTGTACCTCACGTACTGTACCTCACACACTGTACGTACAGACTTAAAGTTTATAAAAGTAGTGAAGCCTTTCAGCTACTTGGCAATCACTTTAATATACCACAAATATACAACCGGGGGACAGTTACCAGTGTAACGGAGCGGTTACCCTGTTAATTAAATTGTATAAAGCCATGGCCACAGGTCAATGCAAATGTATTAGCGTGGAAATTTCAGTGTTAATTCGAAAGAATGGTAATCTAATTGGTTCCAGTCAACCGTTAAAAGGGAATTTGTGTCATTCTGGCTTTTGAGACAACTGATTTGATTGAAATTTGTTCCTCTATATTGTTGACAGATGTATTGCACCGTGGTGGACACAGGAAATAAGTAGCGGTGACATTACTGCTAGGCAATTGTAAATGAACTGTACAGTGTACAGTAATATTGACTAAGGTTAAAGGTATCGTGATACAATTTACATGTGGGAGCAGGTGGTGGTCGGGTTTAGACCAGGTTTTTGGTAAATTCAAGGCGGGGGGGATCATATGGTCAGAATCGTACGTGACGTTGGGTGGGTGGGTCATATTTTCTTCCAAAACGCAGTTAGTACTTTTGTACTAAGTGGTGGGTCTGCTGCTCATTTCCCAGAAAAACAGTTAGTACATGGTAATAAGGGGTTCATTTTTTGGGTGTCCAACCCCAAAAAAACCCATTTTACCTCAAATTTCAATTTTGGGAACAGGTTTTGAGGTTTTTTGAGTTTTTTTTGGGTTTTTTGTAATTTTTAAAATTTTGTTGTAACTTTTTATCTAATTCGACTACATTGAAAACAAAACCCCTACTAAATAGTGGGTATAATTTGCCCATTTCCAATGTTTAATGAGCTGTTTAAAGCAATTTATGGGTGGGTATCTTATTTTATATACCCAGACTCAGTTAGTACCGTGATTTCTCAACAGTTAGTACCACAAAAGCCGGCAAAAGGGGTGGGCGTCCTAAATATTATCCGAAAAAGCAGTTAGTACCGTGACGGGGGTGGGTGGGTTCTTTTTGTAAAGTCCAAAACTGCACTTAGTCGACGTCACGTACGGCACTTAGTACCTGATCCCCCCCCCCCCCCCCCCCCCCCCCCCCCCGTTCGAGGTTTGGATAAGAGTGAAGTTAGAATGTTTGTTGGAATGTTAGTCGGGATATATTACTATATGTCGGGATATATAATATCTCGACATCCCATGTGTCAGGATACTTTAATTGAAATTGTAACTTTAAGAAATAAATGCCGTCACCGTCTCAAGACATGCAACAAAGAGGGTTTCTTTAAAATTGCGCAAGCAACTGCGTGTCAGTCAAAAGCTGCATTCAGAAGTAATTTCAGACAAACGAAAGACGATCTCATTAAAGTATTTCTGAAGAAAATTAAAAAAGGAGATAGTGTAAGCCCATTTTGATTCATCAGAAAGACAAACGTTAAGAGGTACTGAAAAAGATTGGAACCTGATATGAATAAGCTGAAAATAGCTGATGTCAGAGATATCTGAATTTCGGAAAATAGCTGAATCTGTGTGACTAGGATACGATCACCCACTGTAGAATTAGTGTGGTCAGCATACTATCTAGATATTATCAAAACGTTATAATAACACCGCAAAACTTACAATTTTAGATCAAGAATTAAAATAATTCACTTGAACTGTTGATGGTATTCTGCTGGAGTATCAGCTGATATAATATATTGGTATCTAAATATCATAGTGTTAATCATGGGATACCCTGAAGTAGGCACAAGCACATGAATACTATTCAGGGAGTTATAGCACAGAGAGTTAAGTTCAATATACAATTCCATTAACCATGCGGATATATATTTTGTCGTACTACAAAGCTGCAGTGTACAATGTAAAAGGGTATCCCACCCTTTACTGTTGTACTAAACATTGGACTCGTAGTTTTAGGGAGAACGGTTTAAGGTAGAAATTACCTGTTTATTTGGGTATTTATTATTTATTTAAAGATTTAAGTAGACACACTGAATATTTATTATTTATTTAAGTAGATACACTGAATATTTATTATTTATTTAGGTAGACACACTGAATATTTATTATTTATTTGAGCAGATACACTAATATTTATTATTTATGCCGTTGCTAACAAAAATTAAATTCTTTTCGTTAAGATTTTTCTGACCGCAAATCTCCATTCTCCACATTCTAGTGATTGGTAATTTTTGAAGCATGCAATATTCCAGAGTATTGTGCAGTGTTTACGTTTATTGCAGTACGGTATTTGGAATGTATCGTCACAGTAGGATTACATTCCCGAACGAATACCGAGATAGAAAATAGAAGTTTTGAGACAAGAAACTAAAGTAATCTTATTTCATTTCATATTCTAGTAGCAGGGCGTATAGTATACCTATTTCTGCAGACTAACGAGTAACGAGTAGAAATGGTTGGTTTTAAAAAGATCGATTGTGATGTATTAGAAATGTTACATTTAGACCGATTAGCCGAGACTAAGATACTCAACATTTTCCTAAGAATTTTGGGTATTATTTACAGTAGACTCTCAGTACAACACCGGTCATCTCCTTTCCCCCAAACAAGGCCAAGGCTTAACATGCATATTGTAAACAACCAAAACCCCGATTTACCGCAAACCGGGGTTTTACTGTACGTGGTATATAACGGTAGACATTTTAAATTTAACATAAACTGCTGGCAGAATGGTGGCAGATGGCAAGCTGTCGTAAAAGTACAGACATGGCGTTGTTATAACTATAATTGTGTAATATCCACATTTTATTTTTCACTGAATGAAACCCAGATATTTTGGGTGAAGAAACTATTACACCTACCTAGCTAATAGCTATTCGATGAAAAAAATAAATAAGTGGTCAGTAACGGACAGTTTTGAACTGACAAATTAACAGTCGTTTTAGTAGGTCAGTAATTCACACTGTCTGGGGCACTAGCAGACCCTTCAAAATCATATATACAAAACCCTTCAAAATGATATATTTCATGGATAAATTATAATACATTTTATTTCTGAATTTTCTGTATACAGCAGAACTGCAGAGAAGACCAAAGCGTGGTCCGGTTATTCTTGACATCACAGTTCTGTGAATACAATACTTAACGGGTAGTAAGTTACACTGATGTGACGCTAAGCCTTAGCCACTTGAACATTGAACAAGTCACGTGATAGTCAAGTGAGAACAAGTAAACTGACTCTCTTTCTCCGGAGGAAAAAAGTTATTTTGCTTGTTCCCACTTAAACATATCGGTGCATACCAGTACATACCGGTACATACCGGTACATACTGGCAACATACCGGCAACATACCGGTTCCACACTAATATTAATAACAGTACCTGAAGCAGAGACGCTGTTTCTTCCATCCAGAACATTCTTCTTGCTCTCAGAGCTGGAACTGATCTTCCTTTTGAATATGGACTTAGTCGAGGGTTTGTCAGGAGGTTCGTATACACCTGTTATACCCGCCAGTTTGATCTTCAGCGTTCCTGGGAGTGAGCAGATATGTAATAGATAATATCACGTGTAGTATACACTCCTTATATAGGCATAATCGTGATGTAATGTAACTTTTAAATTAATGTAAACCCATTGAAGCGTGGCAACTAATTGTTACATCAAATAATCTACTTTTAATTCCAGCGGGTAGACACAACAACAGGGAATATAATATACATTATTACTGCTACTACTACTACTAGTATTATGTACCTGAATTAATCGTAATAATACACAACCTTGACCGTGGACAAGGACAGTTCAATGTTGCGGTAAAATTGTGGGCCCTAATATAATTATAGATATAATATTATGTAATTGTACAGGCAACATATTATGATGGTGTGACAAATGACATGCTAAAATTACATTTATTCACTTTTTTATATCTTAAAATATTCCATGTCTTATCATAATATGTCTCTGAATAAGATGTCAGCTAAAAATGAAAAAATAGTCGACTGGAACTTAAAAGAAAGCTTTTCACTTTTCAGTGTACGTGATTTCTAAGAAGTAAACACAGCTGACACGCCGACAGGAAACTTCATCATAGTATCATGAGGTTATATAGGAGGTACGTCAGAGGAGAATACGAGGAAAACCTGATCAGTTTAAGTAGGTGACCATTTTATATTATGTGACACCTTTAGAGTATGTGACCACTTTATATCATGTCACATTTTATCGTGTTCACTCTTCAGAATAGTTTTTATATCTTCGGATATAATTTCAACTTAAACCTAGTTTAATATCACGTCAGAATTAATGTGAGTAAAAAATGTATGTGACCACTTAGGGAGAAATATTGATCTGGCCGCATATAATAAATGAATCAAGTATATTAAATCATCACAACAATAGTTATTATTTACTATCGAGTTTATAATAAGTGTATATTATGGTACATAAACAAGGTATGATATAGAAGGTTGTCAACTAATATACTGGTTATTATAACCACTGGTTATTATTATCATACATATAACTAGCATCGGTTATTAAGTTGTAACACCCAAAATAAAGCCCCTAGCGTGGACATAAAGATATATTATTTGGAATCTGGTTTCAGCTAAGCTGTTTTATTTTTTGATATATCTATAAATGAATCTCGAGAGCAATATAATTTGATAGCCTAAAATAAAGGAATGACTTCAAACTTAAGATAATACACTACTTTCCAAAATGTAAAAATATAAAAATTGTTTGGGAAGCATACAAATTACGAGGGTATAACTATAACACAATCTATTTATAGCTCATAAACATATAGCTCATAATCTTCACCAGTCACTCATTAAAACATAATTATTATTGTACATAATATATTAGCTAATAAAAACAGGAATTATTATAATAATATGATAGGTATTATATAACCTGTTTTGTAATCTGTATTTCACAATATTTCACAATATTTTACAATGACGTGGCCTATCTCCTAAGCTACTAATCTAGACATGTCAGCCTATGATACCGAAGTGACCTAATAATGCGTGTAAACCACTACAGACAGTCTCTCAGTTCCACTTCTCATTATTATGTACTTCTAGTACTACTAGTTACATTATACAATGTAATATAAACGCTTCAGCAATCAGCACGTCACGAATTATACTGAGTTTATAGATCAGCTCATTGTAAAACCAGCTAGTAGTATACAGTATTACAGTGTATAGTATACAGTATTACAGCTAGTAGTATACAGTATTACAGCTAGTAGTATACAGTATTACAGCTAGTAGTATACAGTATTACAGCTAGTAGTATACAGTATTACAGTGTATACTACACAGGGCAGGTATGGCTCACTCATATTAAACTCAAAACTCAAAAGGATATATATATACAATATATACAATATACATGTAACATGTACGTTAAATTATATAAGATAATTTTAAACTTCAATATGTTTGTTATTATAATATCGTACTTTGAATTATTTCTACTGATATTACAGTTTACATTTCATACTAGATAACTTTATTATGATGCAGTCTTGCTTGCGTCTTGCCGGTCACAGAGTTACTCAGTTTACAAATTGGAACCATGTTGAAATGATAAACTGGTGACATGAGCGCACATAATATATAAATATAATACACATAATATTATATAAGCATTAATAATATACAGTGCAACTTGTTAGTGTAGCTTCCTACAGTTGGTATCGTTACTGCTAAGTGCTTGATATAATATAACATTGCAGCAATATCACACTTAACATACGTTTTTGATCAAAGGTATTAAGAATTAACACAAAGCAACATTTCAGAGAAATTGAGAGGAAGAGAACACTGATAGTTTAGTGTTATGAAAAATGTAAAAAATAAACATCTTCACTCTGCTTAAGAAGAAGTAGAGCTAAAAATAGAATTTTTCCAACTACTGGCAAGTGGCAGAGTTCTTTGTTCAATTTCCTTCTATTATCTTATTTTATGTTATTTTGCATAACAGGACTAAGAAAATCAAAGCGTAACATAAACCAAAATGCTGATAATAACCTTGTCTCTACATCTTAGATTATATGCACACACTTATGCATCACTCAATAAACGTCGCATATCTCATAAATTACACTGCCAACATTGGACAAGTTACAAACTCTACAAATTTTGAAGTGCTCAGTCTTGTTTTACTTTTTTAATCTTTACCTATTAACCATTGGAAAATTAAACTTTAAGTTATAAACCTTCCTTGCATACTTTACCGGTAGAGTCTAAATTGAATAGTTTGAGATTTCCTTTACATTTTATATTTATGCATGTGCCCCACGGGGATGAATTTCTTATTACCATTGATATTATATATACTTTTTTGAGTAAACATTGGCTGGTACCACGGGCCAGTCCCCAACAAAACAAAAAAAAAATCTTACTATTTACTATAATATCATGTATTATATAACTTGCATTTAATGAGCTTAATTTGTTCAGACCTGTCACGACTCAAAAATAAAAATATTCTACCTATTAAACACAAATTTTACTTGATTATAACCCTAAACCCATTTACTAACCACATCCCCCTGCCCCTCCTCTTCCAACACCCCTGCCAACAAAGTAACATACCAGTTTAATGCTCGCTTTGCCCGATTATAACCTACTAGTGTAACCGTACTAGAAACAAGAACTATCCGAGATGGAGTACCTCAGGGCTCTGTTTTAGGTCCGGTATTCTTCAACATCTATATCAGATCGTTGTACAGATATGTCAAAGAATCTGGTTTCTCCATTATTGGTTACTAGTGTAACCCGGCCTTCGGCCGGGATTTCACTGCCACAGTTAAAAAGGGTAGGAGTAATTACCCGCTGAGTCAAAACCCGCATTAGGTGAGCAATTCTATTAGCTATTCGGAGTGCCCTCACGTATCCAATAGTATCTTAAACAATAATCAATAAAAATTAACCTTTATTAACTCCGCTTCACATGACCCGCATATTTGAAAACATGACACACATTCTGAGATTATTGTTTAAGATGTACCAACGCTACATAATATGCAGTAATGGGAGAGAGAGCGAGGAGGGAGAAAATGTGAGCCATTTTATGTAACATTTGTGGTTTAAAACCATCAATTAAGAAGCTCAAATCCCTTCATTGGCTCAAGGTGAAGGAGAGGATTGAGTTTAAGTTATGTTTACTGATTTTCAAAGCAGTCAATGGTGTTGCTCCTGCATATCTGTGTGATCTAGTAACATTTGTTAGTTCGAGTAGCAGAAGAACTTCCTCCTTACACCTACCTGTTGGATCTACAAGATCGCACCCAAGAGCGTTTCAGACTGTTACTCCGAAAATCTGGAACCAACTACCAATTGAAATTAAGACTTGGTCTGATGTTGATCTGTTCAAAACATTTTAAAAAACTCGCTTGTTCAAGAAAAGTTATGGCATGAGCGATTAATTGACAGTATAACTTTATGTTATATGCTTAAACTGTTTAGGATGCAACCTAATGTAATGATATTTTTGAACTTATTAGCAATTAGACTGTTAGCTCGCTTCATAAGCATGTCATCTTCGTTCCAAAACTTTTTATGACCTATGCATACACTCCTTGATAGTTATCTTGATCTAGTATCTTTGTTTCACACAGTAGAGCATAAGTTTTGTGGTTTATCCACTGGGCTTAGATTTTGTGTTTAAGCTACCAAATTTTATTATTATTATTTATTAAACCACTTACCACCGACCGATTTAAAAAACTTTAACCATTTGGCTTTGTCAGAGTTTTCTCGGCACTATACCGAAAAAGACAGTCCCGCAACTCTTACCGTTGTCTTGATTAAGCCGCTCGGGAATTACACACGCACACACAGACAGAAAACACAAATTCTGAGATTATTGTTTAAGATTGTTACCCTTACGCCCAAGTAAAACAACGTACCGGTAAGAGCTGAAGGAGCAGTTCTAGGTTTCCGCTTACTGAGAGCCTGTTCACTGACCATACCCAGCAGTTCCTCCAGACTTACTCTGAACAACTCTACTTTCCTCTCACTCTCCTCCACCTGTGACGTGGCCTAAAATATATATAATATACACATAATGAGGATATAATTATGTGGCCTAAAAAAAGTGTGGCCATAAATTAGGAGAAAATTATGTAAGTGTGGCCTGAAATTGAGAGAAATGACTTGGTTAGTGAAGTTAATAAAGATTAAGTTTGTGTTCAATATAGAGGGTAAACAGGCAGCTGGCTTTAAGTAAAGGTTAGGAGGAATGTGAAATTATTAATAAATAATAAATAATAAATAATAAATAATAAATAATAAATAATAAATAATAAATAATAAATAATAAATAATAAATAATAAATAATAAATAATAAATAATAAATAATAAATAATAAATAATAAATAATAAATAATAAATAATAAATAATAAATAATAAATAATAAATAATAAATAATAAATAATAAATAATAAATAATAAATAATTTTTTTTTTTTTATTGAAATCTTTCAAATCAGTCAATTACATACAAGTTTACACAATGAATTAGTTAAATATAATATTGTCCTCTAAGCATGGATTGTCAAAGTTGAGATTGTCTCGGACAAAATGTATGTAACCAAAGGACCTGAGGGTCACCAAAACACAGATATTGAGTGCAAATGCAGCTCCTGCACAAGCATGGGCCCTTATAAAATTGTAATAAGTTACTTTAAACAAAATCACACACCCATTCAATCAATTCATAAAATATTGTGCTGTGAGATGAAATTGAGAAATATGTGAATGCAGACAGCAAGAATAGATAATCTTGAATAAACTATTTTACGGATTTGTTTCTATTGAATAGTCAAGTTCAGAGTCCGAATCCACCGGGATAATTTTCCCCCACATGTAAGTGGAAAGTTTACTTTTAAAATCAGTGATACTCTCTATCTCACGGATATCTAGAGGAATGTGATTCCACTTAGTGTGGGTCCTATAGAAGAAATTCTTGGCAAAAGCGTTGGAGCTAGCTCGAGGTGAGATAGAGCTTACAAAACATAGAGAGTCCATGTGACTATTTCTGAGCCTTGAGTGGCCTTGAAATGGTTGCAAATATGAGGGTAAAGTGACAGGTATATGTTGCTTCACAATTTTAAAGAAGAAGATGAGATCCAAGAAGTCAAAGCGGTCTTCAATCGGCATAATCTTCAGCTGTCTGCATTTTTGAATGTATGTGGATGGTGGATAACTCATATACTCCTCGTGAAGAATCCACTTAATAGCACGCTTTTGGAGGCCCTCCAGCTTGCTTATCTGGGATTTTGTGACTGGTCTCCATATAACCGAGCAATGCTCAAATAGGCTCCTCACTAAAGTGAGATACAGTACTCTACGACGATTTACGTCTTGGACAAAATAACAATTTCTTCTCGCCATGCCTAATTTTTGGTTTGCCTTAGAAAGGACTTTGGAGCACTGATCTTTCCAATCGAGATTTGATGTCACACTTACACCCAGATCCTTTTCATGATCAACATAGTCAAGTGTGATTCTTCCCATGGAGTATACAAAGTTAAAGAGTGGTAGGACACTAAGGAGGGAAACTGTTTCGGATATCCTTCCTGCGACGGTGAGGACCTTACATTTGTCGGGATGAAATCTCATTTTATTAGAAAGTGACCAGTCATGGAGATAATCAATGTCCTTCTGCAGTCGCAGGATATCAGACTCCGAAACAATCTTACGCCAAATTTTAGTATCATCGGCATACAGTGACAGTTGTGTGCCTGGTGAAATCCCCACAGATATATCATCAATGAACATAATGAACAGCAATGGTCCCAAAATTGACCCTTGTGGTACACCAGACTGGGCGTTTCTCATAGAAGAAAACTTGCCACTTATCAAGACCTGTTGTTGCCTGTCTCTTAGATAATCAGTGATGAATTTCAGTAGCCTCCCATCAATACCAAATTTGCTCTTTAGCTTAAATAATATAAGATCATGGTTAACCGAGTCAAATGCTTTGGCAAAATCAAAGTAGACTACATCTGTTCTCATATTTTCATTCAGTGAGAGCGCTAGGCTGTCGCACAGTCCTACAAGATTAGTTGCACAAGATCTCTCAGCTCGGAAACCATGCTGTTTGTCATTGATCATGCCATTAGTAAGTGCCAATAACTCATCTCTTATTATGCGTTCAAGAACTTTTGTGATTAAGCATGTAAGAGAAATTGGCCTATAATTTGAAACCTCATGTTTATCCCCTTTCTTGAATATTGGTACAATGTGCCCCAGTTTCCACTCCCTTGGTAGTGTCCCAATGTTGTAGCATGAATGAAAAAGTATTGATATAGGGTATGCGAGCCCAACCGCACAGTTTTTCAAAAGTTTCCCATGGATACCATCAGGTCCATAAGCTTTATTAGCATTAATATTGGAAAGGATTTTGCGAACCCTTCTGTGGTCAAATTCAATATCAAAGCGCCAATCATTAGAGTAATCTATATCTATGTCATAAGTTGATGCCTCAGAGAACTGCTCGAAGAAAAAGTCATTAAATAGGTTGGCCTGGTCTTCAGGGCAGTTGCGGACAGTGCCTTTGTGGCTTACAAACTCAGGGATCCGCTGACTAGCTGTCTTCGATTTGACATAGGACCAAAATTTTATTGTTATTAAAGCACTATCATCAGATTCATTTAATGTTTCCCTCATTTTTTGAGCAACCACATTTTTGAAATTTTTCCTAGCAAGGGAGAATGCAATTTCAGCTCTATCACTTTTATGCCTTTCTTTATGTAATCTCACTTTCTCTTTGTCAATAAATAACAAATAATAAATAATAAATAATAAATAATAAATAATAAATAATAAATAATAAATAATAAATAATAAATAATAAATAATAAATAATAAATAATAAATAATAAATAATAAATAATAAATAATAAATAATAAATAATAAATAATAAATAATAAATAATAAATAATTATTATTATATTATTATAAAACAGGATCTTACCGACAAAAATGATTCTTAAAAATACCTTAATGCGGTAAACTGTACCCTTGAAAAAGATTTTCCCAACATCTGTTGCATGCAGCTATATCTCTAATTTCGTTCAATTCATGCAAGTTGTCCATTTGCAAATTTCTACTACTTAAATCACTTCTTAAAACCGATAACAAGTTCATTCTAGGTCTCCCCAATCTACCAATGAATAAATTATCTGATTCAATAGCAAAAGAGAGAGCCGTTTGGGCTGGGGTGTTCTCCATAAATAAATAATAAATAAATAATAAATAATAAATAATAAATAATAAATAATAAATAATAAATAATAAATAATTTAATAATTTAATGATTTAATAATTTAATAATTTAATAATTTAATAATTTAATAATTTAATAATTTAATAATTTAATAATTTGATAATTTAATAATTTAATGATTTAATAATTCAATGATTAATAATTAATAAATCTCACCTCAGCGATGGTTTTTTTGATCTGTTCATTTGCGTTTTTACCTCCAGTACTACTTAACGTTCTCACGATATTCTTAGCCCCCACAATTACCCTACTTTCAATTTGTATCCTGTGTCTGATCTCCTCTATGCGAGCAGCCAGCTGTATGTCTGTCGTTCCGCCGGGTGGTAGTTCCTAATCGGGTCATTAATTAGATAATTAGTTTTGTGGAATTAACTGTTTTTTTGTTAAGTAGTTGTTCTCGGTCATGATAGCTGGTTGGCTATTAGTGGGATTAAGGCAACAGTGATGTATTTTGAAGTAGATTGTTATTTTCTTGTTAAAACGCTGATACAAGTATATAATTCCTGCAACATCTCCAATAACTTGCAACATCTCCAATATTTTGCAAGACTTGAGATGTATGTTATACGAAACTTAATTGAATCATTGACAGGTTAATAAAAATATCGATCACCATGTTATATGACAATTCTTTTTCATTATGCCTAAAATGGCAATTTAATTGTGCGCAATTAAAAATTTATACGTATTTTTTCCTAAAGACGAAATAATTCAGCAACTCCGATGCATTATAGTCACCATATCAATTTTGGCTTCTTTGTGAATAGTACTTTTCAGATTATCTAGTGTTGATTCATCTTGCATTTCTAATTGTGTGACTTTTGACTCATTGGCACACTAATAACGATAACTCCTGTGATATAAGCACTAGAGACTCCGTGATTTCAGGATCATGAAATTTAATCGAATTTATAAAGGTATAGATAGATATATCAACCAATAAAGAGCAATGACTATTTTTAAAACGCATTTAAAAAAATCAATCTCTAGTGCCACCTTTTTTTTAACGTGTCCATAAGATATACACAACATCATGGGCACGCCCCTACACAACATAGGCTCACCTCATCGTTAGAGTTTTTAGCGTTCGTCACGTGCAGTCCTATGTGGTTCAGCCTCGTCTCTAACCTCAACTTATTCATCTGAAATATCAAATAAGTTAAATATTCGATATTTTAAATATTTTACTAGATAGTCACATAACGTGGTAATATTTTATAACAACAGTAGTGTGCGAGAGATACAATCCTGAATTTTCTGTACAACGAATTCAGCAGATCACCAGCCTCCTTATAAATTAATGGTGGTCATGGTTTTTAGGGTTTAGGGTTACATGATCTCAGTACTTCATTTTTAACTTTCCCGTGTCAAATAGTTGGAGAGAGGGGGGAGGGCCGGGGGAGATGGAGGAACCTGATGAAATTGTCTCACCAGGGGTAAAGACAAGATTATGTTTTTGTACAAACCTCTCCATTATTGTCCCTTTGTCCCTGATATTTAATATTTTACAACAGTAATATAACTGCTGTGTCGTTTTTAAGTACTGGCAAAATATTTACAAACATTTGCATTGGTCAGGCAACAATACATGCATACTTAACATCTATTATTATTTAACATCTATCATTATTAAAATAAATTATATACATAACGATATTACTATATTATCATGATCAGAAGTAACAAGCTTATCCAAACTGATAATACAAGGATCACAAAGCACCGCTCGCTTAAATCGCTATAAGTTAATACTATATTATACACTACAAATATAGCGCGTTTTACTGTCCAGTAACACCAACTAGTAGCTGATTATAATATTACTAGTGTAACCCGTGCCTACGGCCGGAACTTCACTATCGCAGTTGAAACGCAAAAGTATAAACCCGTTTATTATACTCGAAGAGACGCTTTACATTTTCTTAGTTAAAACGGTGCGAAAGTATGAACTCGCTCATTTCAAACAGACCACAATTTAATTCTGAGTGACGTATCTAATAGTAATACTTGATAGGCAATATTGAGGTCCCCTGCCAAATAGCAAATCTATTATGAGGGGAGAGAGAGAGAGAGAGAGAGAGATATATATAGAGAGAGAGAGAGAGAGAGAGAGAGAGAGAGAGAGAGAGAGAGAGAGAGAGAGAGAGAGAGAGAGAGAGATAGAGAGAGAGAGAGAGAGAGAGAGAGAGAGAGAGAGAGAGAGAGAGAGAGAGCAAGAGTGGGAGAGTACACACACACACACACAAACACTTTAGTATCACATTTGGGTCACAAAATGATCAATTAAACCACCTAGCAATGACCGATTTAAAAAACCTTTATCATTTGGCTTCGTCATAGTTTTCACGGCACTATACCGAAAAGCCGTTCTTGATTAAGCCGATAGGAAATTACACGCGAACGAACGAGATTATTAGTATAGATACTAGATAGATAGATAATATGCTGGATGGAACTTGAGAATTTAGAATAATTTGATTATATTATATTATATCTCATAAATTCCTTAAAAAACATTATCTTCAATCGCATATTCTAGAGGGTAACTAACGTTGATGATCGGTTGGATAAAAGAGTTGCCTAGTCGCCACTGATCTCTCTTTCTCTTAACCACAAGATACCGCCTAAATATTGGAGACTGTACCGAACGACCCATGACCATCTGTTCTTATCATCCAGATTAAATTAAATATAATGTAGAGGATGCTGTCCCAATAATATCATCCAGATTAAATTTAGAGTACAGTATGCTGTCCAAATCATATCTATTTTAGTACCTAATATATGGAGTGGTCCTCTTCACTTGGTACGTGATGAAATTACCGCACCACCCACCACCTCCTAAATACAGGGACACTAAATATTTCAAAATTTTGAGCGGCAATTAATACATTGTCCTTCTGTGACCAACACAATTGCATGGTCACAGCATGGCACTAAGTATTCCTCCTCTCACACTAAGTAAAATAGCCGGTAATGTTGCACTAATGACATCTGATTAGTGTACCCTAACATTATTCAAATAACTTGAACATCAGGACCCGCACTATATTAACCGGTCAAATAACCGAGCTAATAACCGGTTACATAACCTGATCACCATGCCAAGGTTTGACATGGTGGTCAGCGTGAAGGGGGGGGGGGGGGGGGGGTTAGAGCAAAGTAACAGATTTTGTCAAATGAACTAAACATTTCATGACAATTAGCGGGGTAGAGGGAGTGTAGAGTTAGCATTACAGAGTGTAGTTTAGTTATTTACGTGAATATTTGTCTAGATATCTCTCTCTCTGCACAACACGTCGTACAGTTAGATGAGCTACTATGTGCTACAGCTTTACACTACACTGCTATGTGCTGTGTACACAGCTTTACACTACGCTGTTATGTGCTGTGTGTACATAGCTTTACACTACGCTGTTATGTGCTGTGTGTACACAGCTTTACACAACGCTGTTATGTGCTGTGTGTACACGGCTTTACACTACGCTGCTCATTGAAACGTTGAAATGTTATACTTACGCCACAGTTAGGATATTCTCGTGTGTCAATACTCTGTCTCTAAATGTACATTACCTATACTAGTGTACATTGTACCCCCCCCCCCCCCCCCCCCCCCCCCATTGTACGCGTGTCAAGTGTAGGTGTCTAGTGTACATTATACGTGTGTCAAGTGTAAATTGTACGCGTGTCCAGTGTACATTGTACACTGTAATGTTCGATAATGGAATCATCGTAATGAATTACGTGAATAATATTATGTACAAAATTTGTAGATGATCACTTAATTTATATTAATGTTATTAAATGATAACGTAATATTATATGTGTAATATGTAGTTATCGTCCTTCTGGTGCAGGTGGACATTCTTCAGTTACCACATTCCACTAATTTATACACATGGTGGAAATCCAGAGGGGGTTTATTATGGAATTTGTTGTTATGTAAATAAAAACAATTGATTAAATGAAGTTTAATACCTAGTGAAGTTTAATAACCAGCCAATAACCACGAGAATTAATGTATTATTGAGACACCACAAATACCATATATATATATATCCCATTCCCATAATATAATGATCGCGTATTATATAAGTTTATATAAAATGTAAGTTACTGTATGCGTTATTATATGAGTCACGATAGTTGTCGATATTACGAGCACAGTAAAATTGAAGTGTTGCAGGGGATGGCGAGGATAATAATGATAACTTATCGTGTAGACAATAAACTTACACCTCGAGCTACAAATTACTATTACAATATGTTATTATATTTACTATTACATAATGTTACATTAACTAATAATTGTACACAATAATAAAGTTACTCTGCACTGTTTTGGTGACTACCAATTCAAAGGAAATTTTAACTTAATATTTTGAGACTTTCAACAGCCATGATACATTCTCCAATATAACCAATAAAATATACAAGGTTGAAAGTTGCAATAGTTTTAGATAAAATTGTACAGAAAATAAGTATTTAACATTCTGACTAACCTGTAAAACTACAATTTTCTGTTTACTATCAGCTAGCATTTGTTCTGTATCGTTAATCACAGCTTTATTACCACTGTTCTCATGCTCCCTCAACATCTTCTCCGCTCCATGCTTCACCTGAAAACCAATCAGGTTGCAAGTGATCACTTGATCCAGGTATTAACCAAACTGGTTGCAAGTGATCACTTGATCCAGGTATTATTGTATTAACCAATCAGGTTGCAAGTGATCACTTGATCCAGGTATTAAACAGGTTGCATGTAATTTACCAGTGAGTTAAATTACCATGAGCACTAATACAAAATAATCGGTTATAAAGTCAAGAAACACAATCCTAAATTCCATCATATTCAGCTGTACCACCATACTGTTGCTGATGGTGGTATCCAGCTTATGAGAAGACGAATTGCAATATTTTAAGTTTCGATTTATTCTCGAAAGGATAAGTTGAAAGGGCGTCGGAAATCGGAAGAAGTTAAAAGGAGCTGCTCAAGAACCGTTTACAGTAACAATATTGATAAAGATCAGGTAAGTCACCATACCAGTGCACCAGTGCACCACTGCACTGGTATAAAGTATACAAATATAATAAGTGCAAGATTGTTAATAGAAACATCGCATCCTTGGGTGTGTATGTGTGCACCGTGCAATTCATCAGCAGTCTACTCGGGGGGGGGGGGGGGGGGGTGCAGGTACTACTTGGTAAAACACAGCTCATACCGGTGTCCTAGATTTAGAAACGATATAACCACAGTGTTGCTATGGTAACCACAGTGTTGCTATGGTAACCACAGTGTTGCTATGGTAACCACAGTGTTGCTATGGTAACCACAGTGTTGCTATGGTAACCACAGTGTTGCTATGGTAACCACAGTGTTGCTATGGTAACCACAGTGTTGCTATGGTAACCACAGTGTTGCTATGGTAACCACAGTGTTGCTATGGTAACCACAGTGTTGCTATGGTAACCACAGTGTTGCTATGGTAACCACAGTGTTGCTATGGTAACCACAGTGTTGCTATGGTAACCACAGTGTTGCTATGGTAACCACAGTGTTGCTATGGTAACCACAGTGTTGCTATGGTAACCACAGGATTACACAGGATTACACAGGATTACACAGGATTACACAGGATTACACAGGATTACACAGGATTACACAGGATTAAAATTAAATTATAGATCCATTATCATGGACCGTCATAATTGTACAGAGATTAATGAAAACATTCATCTTTCCTTGAAGTCAGGGCCAGGGTTATCCTTAAATCTTAATTATGACTAATTCGCGAGGTTCTCACCAAATTGATAGTAAAATTGTTTGAGTTTCGTGCATTTGAATTACGTTGACGCATATCTTCGGTGAAGCTATTTCGCTCTTCGGAGCAACGAAGGAAATAAGTGCACACACAATTGACAGCATAGGAGCGCCTTTCTTGAAATTGAATATACTGTGGGGTGTTTGGTAATCATAAATTAAAAAACAAAAAACAAATTAAACAAGCGATAAATGAATATAATTACACTGGGGTCAATTGTCGCGAAATCTAGGGTTTAGTACGACAATTGACCCCCCGACAATTGACCCCCGACAATTGACCCCCTGTGTAATTACACCGGGGTCAATCGTCGCGAAATCTAGGGCTTAGTACGACAATTGACTCCCCGATAATTGACCCCCCATGTAATTACACTGGGGTCAATTGATCGGGTTAGGGTTAGGGTTAGGGTTAGAGTTAGGGTTAGGGTTAGGGTTAGGGTTAGGGTTAGGGTTAGGGTTAGGGTTAGGGTTAGGGTTAGGGTTAGGGTTAGGGTTAGGGTTAGGGTTAGGGTTAGGATTAGGGTTAGGATTGTTTAACAAATTAAACAAGCAATAAATGAATATAATTACACTGGGATCAATTGTCGCGAAATCTAGGGTTTAGTACGACAATTGACCTCCCGACATTCGACAATTGACCCCCCGACAATTGACCCCCTGTGTAATTACACTGGGGTCAATCCGCAATCGTCGCGAAATCTAGGGCTTAGTACGACAATTGACCCCCCATTTAATTACACTGGGGTCAATTGATCGGGTTAGGGTTAGGGTTAGGGTTAGGGTTAGGGATCGGGTTAGGGTTAGGGTTAGGGTTAGGGTTAGGGTTAGGGTTAGGGTTAGGGTTAGGGTTAGGGTTAGGGTTAGGGTTAGGGTTAGGGTTAGGGTTAGGGTTAGGGTTAGGGTTAGGGTTAGGGTTAGGGTTAGGGTTAGGGTTAGGGTTAGGGTTAGGGTTAGGGTTAGGGTTAGGGTTAGGGTTAGGGTTAGGGTTAGGGTTAGGGTTAGGGTTAGGGTTAGGGTTAGGGTTAGGGTTAGGGTTAGGGTTAGGGTTAGGGTTAGGGTTAGGGTTAGGGTTAGGGTTAGGGTTAGGGTGTGCTAAGTGCTTACCTATGACGAGCTGCATGTTCCAAATTTCCAGTTGTAATATTATTTTATGATGAAAGCAAGCTTCTAAATTCGGGATAGCCTGTGGCAGGCAACGCCCGATTCTAATGCTTCTACAGACCTACACAAGTGTAAGTAAGTAGGTAAATATTTCATGCTAGGCATGTGGCACCCATTACGGTAACCATCCATTGAGTTTTGCTTTTTCGCTGTACTATATTGCACAGCTCCCCATTTAACCCTCACACACGATTTCTCGAGCATTCGGCTGGGTGGACCGGGAGGCTGCATAAATCCTATGGGATCCTTAGCAGAACGTCGACGACGCTCACCCCACGACTAGGTAGACAGCCGGTATTGAACGTGCAACCTCACGATTGCTGGCGTTCTAAGAACTGCGTTCTAACCAACTGAGCTACCTGGCCGTGAAAAATTATTATTTTAGTATAGTATTATTTTAATACTATTTTAATACTTTCAACACTAGTATATAACAAATAATTTGAGTGACATGATGGATTACTGAGGGGCACTGTGTTAAGGTGATTTAAGTGGTCCCAATCCCCACCGACCATTCTTCTTTGTGTCATGCCTATGTTCCTGAATACTTGCTTCATCATCTCCTTTTTATAACAATCACGGTGTCTTTAGGGGGGGGGGGGGGGGAATCATGTTATTTTTTGTCCGTTTTTGTCCGTTTTTGTCCGTTAATTTTTGTCCGTTTTGAAAATACAGCTGCCAAACGGACAAAAACGGACAAAAACGGACAAAAACGGACATAAATTGTAACTTTTGATTTAAATTTTCTCCACAATTTGTAACAGGCTATCTGCAGAAATGGGTAGCCCGGTTAATGACCATGGTCCTTTCTCAAACTTTTAATCTTCAATTAGGCACAAAGAATAGTCTACACATTTTTTAATAACATAAAAAGGGATGAAAAGTTTTATTACTGGAGAGTAAAACTTTGTTAAACACAAAGATTCTTGAGCACATTTTGAGTCAGACTCAAATGCGCTTAAAAACATTTTAGTATATAACAAGGCGAAGGAGGACTGATGAGGAGGATGAGGATGAGGAGGAGGGTGACTGGGGGAGGACTGAGGAGGAGGGTGACTGGGGGAGGACTGAGGAATATGAGGAAGACTGAGGAGGAGGAGGAAGAGGAGAAGGACTGAGGAGGAGAAGGACTGAGGAGGATGACTAAGGAGGAGGATGACTGAGGAGGAGGAGGAGGACTGAGAAGGAGGAGGACTGAGGAGGAGGAGGACTGAGGAGGAGGAGGAGGAGGAGGAGGAGGAGGAGGAGGAGGAGGAGGAGGAGGAGGAGGAGGAGGAGGAGTGAATAGGAGGAGGAGGGGGACTGGGCAGGACTGAGGAGGAGGACTGAGGAAAAGGATGATGAGGAGGACTGAGAAGGAGGACTGAGCTGAGGAGGAGAACTGAGGACTGAGGAGGAAGAGGAGGAGGATGAAGAGGAGGTGGATCCAAGAGGAGGAGGTCCCAGGAGGAGGACCCAGGAGGAGGACTCAGGAGGAGGAGGATGACTGAGGAGGAGGAGGAAGCATCTAAATATTATTTCCATTTTTGTTATTTTTTGTCCGTTTTTGTCCGTTTTTGTCCGCTCTATTTTTTGTCCGTTTTGATAATATAGGGTTCCGAACGGAAAAAACGGATAAAAAACAGGATCCCCCCTGGAGGAGGAGGAGGAGAAGGATGACTGAGGAGGAGGACTGAGGAGGACTGAGAAGGAGGAGGACTGAGGAGTACTGAGGAGGATCGCTGAAGAGGATGGCTGAGGAGGATGGCTGAGGAGGATGACTGAGGAGGATGACTGAGAGGGAGGAGGAGGAGGACTGAGAAGGAGGAGGAAAAAGAGGACCCAGGAGGAGGACTCAGGAGAAAGAGGAGGAGGAGGACTCAGAAGGAGGAATGAGGAGGACTCAGAAGGAGGAATGAGAAAGAGGAGAACTGAGGAGGAGGAGGAGGAGGACTGAATAGGAGGAGGAGGGGGACTGGGGGAGGACTGAGGAGGAGGAGTACTGACGAAAAGGATGAGGAGGAGGACTGAGGAGGAGGACCCAGGAGGAGGACTCAGGAGGAGGAGGATGACTGAGGAGGAGGAGGAAGCATCTAAATATTATTTCCATTTTTTGTTATTTTTTGTCCGTTTTTGTCCGTTTTTGTCCGCTCTATTTTTTGTCCGTTTTGATAATATAGGGTTCCGAACGGAAAAAACGGATAAAAAACAGGATCCCCCCTGGAGGAGGAGGAGGAGAAGGATGACTGAGGAGGAGGACTGAGGAGGACTGAGAAGGAGGAGGACTGAGGAGTACTGAGGAGGATCGCTGAAGAGGATGGCTGAGGAGGATGGCTGAGGAGGATGACTGAGGAGGATGACTGAGAGGGAGGAGGAGGAGGACTGAGAAGGAGGAGGAGAAAGAGGACCCAGGAGGAGGACTCAGGAGAAAGAGGAGGAGGAGGACTCAGAAGGAGGAATGAGGAGGACTCAGAAGGAGGAATGAGAAAGAGGAGAACTGAGGAGGAGGAGGAGGAGGACTGAATAGGAGGAGGAGGGGGACTGGGGGAGGACTGAGGAGGAGGAGTACTGACGAAAAGGATGAGGAGGAGGACTGAGGAGAAGGACTGAGGACTGAGGAGGAAGAGGAGGAGGATGAAGAGGAGGAGGAGGAAGCATCTAAATATTATTTCCATTTTTGTTATTTTTTGTCCGTTTTTGTCCGTTTTTGTCCGCTCTATTTTTTGTCCGTTTTGATAATATAGGGTTCCGAACGGAAAAAACGGATAAAAAACAGGATCCCCCCTGGAGGAGGAGGAGGAGAAGGATGACTGAGGAGGAGGACTGAGGAGGACTGAGAAGGAGGAGGACTGAGGAGTACTGAGGAGGATCGCTGAAGAGGATGGCTGAGGAGGATGGCTGAGGAGGATGACTGAGGAGGATGACTGAGAGGGAGGAGGAGGACTGAGAAGGAGGAGGAGAAAGAGGACCCAGGAGGAGGACTCAGGAGAAAGAGGAGGAAGAGGACTCAGAAGGAGGAATGAGGAGGACTCAGAAGGAGGAATGAGAAAGAGGAGAACTGAGGAGGAGGAGGAGGAGGACTGAATAGGAGGAGGAGGGGGACTGGGGGAGGACTGAGGAGGAGGAGTACTGACGAAAAGGATGAGGAGGAGGACTGAGGAGAAGGACTGAGGACTGAGGAGGAAGAGGAGGAGGATGAAGAGGAGGAGGAGGACCCAGGAGGAGGAGGACTGAGGAGGATGATGAGGACTGCAGAGGAGGAGGACTGAGGAGGACTGAGGAGGACTGAGGACTGAGGAGGACTGAGGAGGATGGCTGAGGAGGATGGCTGAGGAGGAGGAGGAGGAGAAGGTGGAAGAGGAGGAGGAGGAGGAGGAGGAGGAGGAGGAGGAGGAGGAGGAGGAGGAGGAGGAGGAGGAGGAGGAGGAGGAGGAGGAGGAGGAGGAGGAGGAGGAGGAGGAGGAGGAGGAGGAGGAGGAGGAGGAGGAGGAGGAGGAGGAGGAGGAGGAGGAGGAGGAGGAGGAGGAGGAGGAGGAGGAGGAGGAGGAGGAGGAGGAGGAGGAGGAGGAGGAGGAGGAGGAGGAGGAGGAGGAGGAGGAGGAGGAGGAGGAGGAGGAGGAGGAGGAGGAGGAGGAGGAGGAGGAGGAGGAGGAGGAGGAGGAGGAGGAGGAGGAGGAGGAGGAGGAGGAGGAGGAGGAGGAGGAGGAGGAGGAGGAGGAGGAGGAGGAGGAGGAGGAGGAGGAGGAGGAGGAAGCATCTAAATGTTATTTCAATTTTTGTTATTTTTTGTCCGTTTTTGTCCGTTTTTGTCCGTTTTTGTCCGTTTTTGTCCGCTTTATTTTTTGTCCGTTTTGAAAATATAGCTGCCAAACGGACAAAAACGGACAAAAAAACATGATCCCCCCCTGTCTTTATTGACTAAGCGCATGTTATGGATCATACAACAAGGTGTGCACGTATATCGGAGTCACAGTGTTGCTATGGTAACGTGACTCACAATCTAACATGTCATGTGACTCACGTACCTTGGTTTCCAGAATTATTTGTTTTTCCACATCGTTAAGAGCTGCCTCTATTTCTGCGGTAGTAGCGCTGGGTTCTGAGACAACGCCCAGTGAGCCGGTACTGTAACTCTTGCGAGGGTGGTTGAATTCTGCTGTCTCTTCTGAAATTATTGGGGTTTTTAATCAATTTAATAATTGATTAAGGCCAGGGGGGGGGGGGGGGGTAAAAATCGTTTTTCCAGTTTTCACATATTTGATCAGAGCTGCTGGAGATGAACAAGTAGAAAAAAACCGCATAAAAATCGGACCTTGCGTTGCTGAGATATTGTGCGCCAAAATTTGAGGTTTACCTGTAATTACATGTAAAACTTTAACTTTAACTCTTTATATCTTTTTTCCAGATAGAGCTCAACGTTTAGAAAAGACTGGCCACACCCAAGACCTGAAACTTGGCACAGGTGTTCCTTAGACTGTTTCACACAATTCTATTGTACATAATTTTGATATTTGCCTCTGTTCTTGAAATATGAGGCTAACTTTACCTCAAATTCGCTTTTTTAAAGAATTTGAGGCAAATATCAAATTTTGGCGTGCAATATCTCAGCAATGCAAGGTCAGATTTTTATGCGTTTTTTTTTTCTACTTGTTCATCTTCAGCAGCTCGATCACATAATATGTGAAAACTGGAAAAATGATAATTTACCCCCCCCCCCCCCCCTGGCCCTCTGGCCTTAATTGGTTGAAGATATCGAAATTAGGAGGTGAACCATATTTGTTTTCAATGTTAAAGTGATTCTGAGTTTTGACTTTTGATAATAAAATCCTGGAAATCGATTGGTTAATCGATTTCACGTGACAGACAAAATATGGTTGACCTGCCACTTGCCAGTATCCAAGCCTAAAGAGTCGAGCGGATCAATCATTTAGCTGTTATACATATTCGGAGATTACTTTTGCAAGGACCAGGCAATTAACTTATGCAATGTCACTGTAGTGAAGATATTTTGAAATAAACGCTATTTTACAGGGATGACATCATGTGGCGGACATGTCATTGACATGTCCGCCTATATCCTGTCCTTTTTGGATTCTATGAGACAAGCGGACGTGTCATCCCCCCCCCCCCCCCCTTTACAGTGAGAAAGTGACACACACAGTGACACACACAGTGACACACACAGTGACACACACAGTGACACACACAGTGACACACACAGTGACACACACAGTGACACACACAGTGACACACACAGTGACATACACAGTGACACACACAGTGACACACACAGTGACAGGATACACAATTTAGAAGTAAAACGACGAATTATGCACCGATCATTAATTCCTGGTTCTGTCTCAGTTGTCATTACTGTAACATCTACAAAAAAAAATTGGTGTGTAATTTACCGAGGTCCCCAGTAGAACAGCAACAACCGCGCAGCAAACTGTTCCGGCGCCGGGGCGTATCAGCTACCTCAGCGTAAAGTATCTGCGTGGAATAGCGGCGCATCCCACAGGTACCCCACCGGGCATTGCTGACATAGGACGAGGAACAAGTGCTGTACTGAGACATGATTCCTCTGTAGGACACAGTGTAGGACACAGTGAAAGACACAGTGTAGGAACAGTGTAGGAACAGTGTAGGACAGTGTAGGATACAGTGTAGGAACAGTGTAGGAACAGTGTAGGATACAGTGTAGGAACAGTGTAGGAACAGTGTAGGACACAGTGTAGGACACAGTGTAGGATACAGTGTACACTATACTGTATGTACTAAGTATACACGATGAGACAAAACAACTCAAACGTTAGGCTGCAGATGTATATTCCCACCAGTAAACCAATTTGTAATGCGTTTATTAAACGGATTATCAGTTTTTAATGTCAAGGAGGTGGTTGCATTAACTTTTTATTGATTAAAAGTAAAACTGGCCTTTTAAAGAATTCGTTTAGTGAAAGTCACTGTACACTGGGCCAACAAATCAGACTGCTGGCTGTATATGATTTGATGAATTTTATTTATTGAAGGTTACAATGAAATCGGAAAAGTTTTCAACTATTCCCACACATGATTACATTTAATAAGAGACGGTGTCATAACCAATATGTGTTCTAATGACAGTTATCAGACTACTCCCACTCATTACAATTATCTGATGTTTCCCTGCTTCCAAGAAGTTTTTAAACTTAAATTAAAATGATGCCTGTAATAATTGCCAAATTGCTGGCGAAATACTTGTTACGATTGGATGTGCGTGCAATCGGTTAATGACAAGTAACATCTTTCTTCACTAATTATCTCCTTCTTCACTAATTATCTCCTTCTTCACTAATTATCTCCTTCTTCACTAATTATCTCTTTCTTCACTAATTGGCTCCTGAGTATTTCAATTGTACAGTAGTTGTGAGGAAACACTAGCTTATTGGATTAAAAACGCGCACTGTTACTTACTGAACTTAACACATCGCATATAGCTGCTTGAACTTACTTGATAAACGAGAGAAATTTAAAAAGTGGGACTAAATGTGCGAAAACAGACAAACATTTCGCTAGGACAAAACGCGACATTTAATTTCACGAAGAATCCGGAAGAAAAAACCCACCTTGTATCGGTTCATCACCCACGGAAAGAAGTCTGAATACAGTTTGGGAGATCCGTCGCATATCTAACACAATACTAACACAATATCACACCATTATATATATATACATGCTGTTAACAGTAATATTGCTAGTGGGGAGGCGACCCATTAGTATTACTTAGTAACCAAGTCAATTGTTCTCGGTAATAATATTAATAGTTTTGATCATATTTGGCAGTTGTTTGCAAAAAAAAGGTATCAACTACAAGCTGTGCAGGATTGATGGTCATGTCAATAGGCAGATAATGTAGTCATGCACACATAGTAAACATTTTAATCGCACACATAATTCAGACGAGGAGAGGAACATTACCATATTTCACTCAACAACAACGCCGAACCAAACACGACAGTAATGTTAGCTTAAATTAGTAGAAATAAAGAGAAAGCAGAACAAGGAGGCTTACAGTTTGAGAAGAAATTCTCAGAAATTATTTAACTAATAAGCGATAATTAGAAGCCAAACCAAATTGTGAAATTGTATAATATTGAACAGGAGAAAAAGTATGACATTTGCTGGTACATATTGACTTATTTCCCGCACAATTAACTTTAAGATTACGTCCCTCAGAACACATGGCCTGGTGACTGATATGGTGTTTGTGGAGCAACGAAGGAGAGCAAGCAATGAAAATATAATTAAATTTTGTGAAAGGAATTAGCATTTATTTCATAATAGACCATACAATAATTATAATTGTAATAAACTGAAGATTTCATAAATACATGGCCTTTGTTTCCGGTTTTGTCACGATAAATTCGGCCATATTCGTGTGCTTCCTGTCGTAACCAATTAATTATTATCAGGCGGCACAGTTATTAAGGCATCACAATGGGATAACAATCGATTAAAGTAGTAAAAACCATATAACCTTCAAAATTTAATCCTTCGTTGAATCATTTGTTTGTCTAGCGAATGGATAATTGTTATTTAAACACTTTATTGACAAATACCCTGCATACCTGCATATCCAATAATTAATAATTAGTTACGTGCACCGACACATAATGATTTTAATATGTTTGACAGAGAAGTGAAGTCGTAAAGTCGTTGATCTTCATTACTTTATCGCGATTAAATGCCACATTATTTGAAGACGGTACGATGGTAAATACGTGCAAATATTTGGGATTCCGCATATATTACAGTCAAAATGACGTCATCATTTACAAACAGCAATGTTGTGACTGGATATATTGCTTCCTGGAAGAAATAACAACAAGCCCTGTAGCTGAGGACTGGAGAGCTTACACTCTTATAGATTCGTGTATTTAAATACTACCAACTACTAGTCAGGGCTGTATGTGCTTTGAGCTTCCGGCTTCCGCTATTTCTTTAAAAATCCGGTATTGTTATTTTTAAGGGTTGCTGCATTTTGGGCTGACTAAATCTTCATTCGTCATGCTGTGTACAAATCTCTACAATGCATTGAGAAGATTTAAATGTAATGACGACTTGTGATCGTTTAGAAATTATCGCAGACAATACTTGGCACCATGTGAGCAAATGATGGAAATTTATAATTGCCATCATTGTAAATTTGTGTGATGAAGCAATGGCATGTTCTAATAAAACACGTTCTGTCTTTATCTGGTCATTGAAGAAGAAAATTGATTACAATGCTTTGACTTTTATATAGAGACATAGCGTCAATTGCAATAATTTGTAATGTCTGAATAGAGTAGTAGTACACCCCTATAGCACAAATTTTAAAACAATAAAGGGAATAAAGGGAATAAAGGGGGATATTGAGTATCAACCACTCACGAGCAACTTGAGCATGTAGTTCATTGAGCTCCTCCTGAAGTTTGCGTAGATTTGCATCGGTCTTCTGAAGTATGTTGCTTACACTGCCTCTAGTTTTGGCATCTGTTGCAACTCTTCGCAAATTCTCAGCACCTGGATGATTAGGATGAATCAACTCAAACTCTATGATTGCTACATGGACCATGTAGCAATAACATGGTCAACAATTTAAAATTTGTATCATGTATATATAAGCCTAAAGTAATAATATAATACTTTGATATCGAATCACTTGATTAAGTATCAACATCAAAAGACATCAGATCATGAACCTAAATAAGATAAAATTTCACCTTCTTTGATTTTCAGCTCCCTTCTGATCTCCTGTTTGACATCCTCTTTCTGGAGGTACAATTCATACTCTCTACCAGCCATATAAAAACTACATTTTCTCCATGTACCTATAATAAATATTCATTGATATAAATCGTTGAAACAGTTTTAAAAAGTGAAATTATGTGGGTATTTACAAATTCTTAAAAATACCCAGGACAGGAACCACTATATTACCAAAGATTTTGGCTAGGATCAAATTTTGTTAATGAGGTTAAGCATCTCCAACCTCCATAATAGAGCTTACTCTCCATCAGCAGAGCTAGAGGTATTAAAATGTTTTAATGACCACACAAGGCCCTTGCTTAAATTTGATGAAAGCTGACCACAAGAAAGAAAGTCAGGAGTCAGCTCAATAATCATATCAGAATGTGAGTAAGGCTTGTCGTTCTGTGCGGCTTATTGGGGCAGAATGTGTCCTGTCAGTAAAAAATTTGTGTCCTGTCAAGAATGGAGGAATGTTACAATTTGGTCCACAAATGTTTTGGGCGCCCCTACAATATGTTTTCTTGCGCCACCCTGCAGCTTTTTTGAGCTCCCTGGAGCTTTTTGGTACACCCAAATATTTTGCCTGGGTTATGGGACATTGTGCTGCCAAATATAAATCAAACGGTTTTTCCCTAAAATTCTGGAAAAAAGAAACGCCCTAGAGCAGGGTCTGTGGGGCTCTTTGTTTGGCATGTGCCTGTCAGCGAACAACTGAAAATTTGACAAGTGGTTATCTCAAGAAGACGACCTCCTGCCTAGGTTCAAATCCTAGTGTCACTAGGTCTAAAATTACACAACTGTGTAAAATCTCCCTGGTTGATACAGGTGAATGATCGGGAAACAGTGATTAAGGGAATAAGTGAGGAGGGTCTCTTCGGGGGGAGGGGAGGGGGGGCAATGGCATAAAATGGAGACTTTTTCTATGGAGAAAATGGAAAAACCCTTGGGTAATTCTCCATTTTATGCCATGAATTTTGATCATCGAATTACGTATGTGGCAGCTTACTTGGACACTCTTAACATGTTTATTTTCGCTACTAGAGACACCAGGCTACTAGAGGCAAAGATCAATTAGACTATTTTGCAATTCAAATTTCACTAAATTTCACTATGATAGTGATACAATTTAGAAATCGATCAGATATCAGGTTAAGCAAGTAGTTAAGAAGGTGATTGGCCGGATATCAATCAGAAATTTTATTAATCTTCAGGAAAAATTCTCGAGGGCTAGGTCAGGGTAACCTGAAACGTAAACAAAAGTTGTTTCCAGGATAACTTTGTATATTTTTTGACTTAGACAATTTTCGGTCCAAGTCAACCTCGATACGTACCTCTGAAGGCAGGGCTCCTGCTTCCGAGCTCACACTGCAAAGGGGAGGCCTGCCTTCCGAGATCGCATTACAAGGGGGAACCCTCGAGTCCAAAATCGTATATTGAAGTGTAGGTCCATGCTTCGAAAATCGAAGTTACAATATTTTCGGCTAATAATGATCAGGGTAGCATGAATCGTGAAAAGTAATTTCCAAAAAAACTTTGAAAAGATTTTGAAAATTTTCGGTCGTAGTTATTCCATTGATACGTACCACTAAAGGCAGACTCCCCACTTCCGAGCTCGAATTGCATGGAGGAGGCCTGCCCTTCGAGATCGCATTACAAAGGGGAAGCCTCGACTCCAAGATCGTATATCGAGGGTGATGTGGGGACTTCGAAATCGGGATAGAAAACATGAAAACTTATAAATCTCGGAAATATTTTAACAGGATTATTTTCAGCTTGGAAAGGCAAAACGTTCAGTACCAAAATTGTGATATTTGAAAAACAAATTATATTACATTTGTTACAAAATTTTTACAGGACCCTTGATAAAAGGGCAAAAATTGTCTATTTGGTGTTCGAAATGATATTTAGATTCTAAAATGGTTCTATACTTCTCCAAAATTTTTACTTGTTACATATAATTTTAATACTTTCAACACTACTATAATTATAACAAATAATTTGAGGTATGATCCCGAGCCTCTTTCATCTTCAAAGAGCTACAGTGCTGCGTTGTCTCCTGAATCTGCTATAGATAGCCCCACTGCTACTGAGAACTTCATAGAACTAACCAAGAAGGAAACTCCTGTGCAAAAACTTCCCTCTGACAATATCCATAATAATGCTCCTGATAATCATGTTATCGTCCTCAATGTAGAAGCTAGTAATATTAATCTTGAGGAAGCAGGGAAGCTAGCTAGCAAAGCCCTTGGTACAATACCCATGATCTTCTTGACCCCTAAACCAAAGACAGGCAAAATTGTTATCTCCTTCCCTTCAGAAAAAGATAGAAAGGATGGGAAAATAGCCCTTGCAAACTCATCAGCTGTAACTTTGTCCAAAATCACTGTTAATAACACATTTCATCTCAGTGCAAGGAAACTGATGTTATTTGTATGTATTGTAGTGCATCACACATAACCCGGGCTTGTCCCTACAAAGACGTCAGAAGAAGTCACAGATGCACCAACTGCTCACACTCCACTTATGAATCATACAGTTATGAATCATACAGAGAAACAGTACACACACTCAGCCACAGATAGATCATGCCCAGCCTATATCTCTGAACAGCACAAGCTTAAGCATTCAATCTCATATTACACCCAAAAAAACTGGTGAAGAACAAGACTGGAGTTAAGAGCCTTAGTATGAAATGTGCAAGCTGGAATGTTCGCTCTCTAAACAACAAAGTTGACCATGTTATGAACTTTTTAGAAGATAACAACATATCTATTTTCTTTGTTACAGAAACATGGCTAACTGATGAGAACAACAACACCACTGCAATAATAAAAAACTATGGCTATAAACTTTACCAAGTGTATCGCAAAGACAAATCAGGTGGAGGTGTTGCCATAATCTACAAATCATGTGTTCGTCTAATCAAGGTTTTTGCCAACAATGACGGATCATTTGAGGCAATTAACGCAAAACTGAAACTCGTTGATGGGTCTGTCGTCTTCTGCTCCTGTGTCTACCGTCCACCTGGGTCCTTGGGAAATTTCCTCTCTGATTTTGAAGATTTCCTGGCGGATGCATTCTCAAAATACAAGCATTTCTTGCTATGCGGAGATGTTAATATGCACCTAGACAGAATCTCTGCCCATGTGAGCGAGTGGAGCACCATACTATCATCTTTTGGGCTTCATCAACTTGTCTACTCACCAACACATAAAAAAGGTCACATCCTTGATCCTGTTATTTCTTCGCACAAAGTAGTAGATCAAACTTCTGTTGAGGTAATGCAAAACATGGCCAAAAGCTTCCCATCCTGTGACCACTATCCGATTATATTTCAGCTTCATAAGCCTCCTGACATCGACAAATGTGAGAAAGTCATACGCTTTAGAAAGATCAGAGACATAGATCAGGAACAATTTAAAGGTGATTTATCTGTTGCTCTATCTGAGTTGGTTTTTGAAGAAAAGAGCTTCTCTGATGTTGTGACTCAATTTAACAATGGGTGTCAACATATACTAAATGTACATGCTCCAGAATATTCCAAAACCATCAAAGACATTCCCACTGCTCCCTGGTTTGATGGCGAATACAAAGTTGCAAGAGCCGACAGAAGAAAGGCTGAGAAAGCCTGGAAAAAGTCAAGTCTTGACATTGATCATGATATCTTTGTTCATTTGCGAGAGCACTGTTCAGAGCTGACTCTCAAAAAGAAAAAACTGTTTTTCTCTAATACTTTCCAAAAATACAAACACTCACAAAAGAGCCTTTACAAATTTGTAGACACTTTCCTGGATAAAGAAAAGAACCTCACTTTACCATCTTCAGAAAATCTTCAGGAAACTGTAAATGCCTTTAACCAGTATTTTACTGAAAAAATTGAGAAAATCCGAACATCATTTCCCAACACTACTGTGACTAATAGTTCTCCAAACTTCAATGGCCAGGCATTATCTGAATTTAGAAAAGCTACTATTTTTGAAGTAAGAGAATTGATCAAAGAATCTGGCATCAAAACCTCATCGATTGATCCACTACCTAAAGAACTCTTGTCAGAGCACCTTGAGCTAATCCTCCCTACCCTTTGTGATATTATCAACGTTTCTCTTTCAACTGGAAGTATGGAGGGAATCAAACTAGCACATCTCACTCCCCTAATCAAAGGAGATTCCCTAGACACTGAGAACTTAAAGAATTATAGACCCATCTCTAATCTTACATTCATCGGTAAACTCATTGAGCGCTTTGTATTAAAATGCCTCAATGAACATCTAGCCAAGAATAATCTCAACATCGACCACCAGTCTGGTTACAAAAAGCATCACAGCACAGAAACACTCCTCATTACCATAGTCAATGACCTCCTCATAGCCACTAATGAAAACACAGCAACAGTTGTAATGCTTTTAGACCTGAGTGCTGCATTCGACACAGTTGACCATATCAAACTGATCAATATATTGAAGTGTGAGATTGGGATTGCGGGAACAGCCTTGAAATGGTTCACCAGCTTCATCCGTGGTCGTTGTCAAAAAGTCAAGATAGGTGACCTAGAATCTGAAGAAATTGTAATAAAGTTTGGTGTCCCACAGGGCTCTGTCCTTGGCCCTGTGTTGTTCAATATCTACATCCGCTCAATTTACTCTTCTGTAAAATCAAAGCAATTTCTGATCCATGGCTATGCTGATGATCACCAGATCTACAAGTCATTTTCATCCGCTACAGAATATCAAGTCCTCAGCGAAGACCTGCCCTCCTGTTTTAGAGAAATCGAGACCTGGATGACGAATCACTTCCTTCTTCTGAATCCAACTAAAACTGAAATTATAGTTTTTGGTTCAAAACGTTTATTGTCAGAATTAGAAATTGGTGGTGTCTTCCTAAAATCTTCTGTCTGTATAAGACTTGTTAACGTTACCAAAAACCTTGGCTTTACATTGGATTCCTCTCTGACTCTAAATCCTCAGATAAAGAAGCTTAAAGCTGCAAACTGCCACAAGATGCGGAATATTGCAAAGATGAAACCATTCCTCTCTAAAGATCAAATGCAAATCATCGTACAATCTCTTGTTATTAGTTCGCTTGACTACTGCAATGCACTTTACTATGGTACTAATCATTCTGTTTTGAAACAGCTACAATCTCTGCAAAACAGAGCATGTCGCTTAGTTAAAGGTCTAAAGAGGAGAGAAGAAGTTGAGCCCTACATAAAAGAACTTCATTGGCTCAAGGTACAAGAACGTATTGAATTTAAAATACTCCTGCTAACTTTCAAACTGCTCCATGGACTAGCACCTTCATACCTGTCAAACCTTGTCAAGTACAATCCCAGTGGTGGCAGAGATGTGTCTCTTCATTGCCCTATAAACAGTCCACCAAGAGCCTTCTCTTCATCTGCTCCAAGATTATGGAACAACCTTCCTCAAGAAATCAGGAAATGTGTAAACATCAATGACTTTAAGGGAAAACTAAAAGCTCATCTGTTTAGAAAGTCCTTTGATATGTACTGAGTGAATAATACATTATCAGAAGATTTTTTAAATCTTCATCCTATAGCAGGTCAATTTTACGCTTTAAATTAAATTATTTTAGGCTACTAATTTTTCAGGATTTTCGGGCATCATTCGAGATATTATTCTTTTCCGTGTTTCACTGTGTCTGCCAACAAAATTTTAGTGTAGGTCAGAAAAGGAGGCTCTATCCCGGGACACCAACATTTTTTGGGTTGGCACCCAGGAGAAAGCTGCCTTATTCTTTGTATTTTGTCTCAAGTATTTTAGCATCTTCTTCCACTCTGTTTATTTCACCGTCTCTAGACTTGTATGTTGCCCAGATAATTTGACATGACTGTATTGGATTTTCTGTAACATCAGTTACTGTTCTGCAGTAAGCTTTTTTAATAATTTTGTATTGTATATTGAAGTTTTCAGATTGTTTGTATATTTGGAGTTATATAATTTTGGAGTCTCATACATAGATTTCTTGTGGTCATCATCTATTTTTCATATGTTTTGTTAGAAAACCTGCTAACCTTTCTTGGATATCTTCTTGTTAAAGGTGTTTCTGCCTTATTTAGTCAGGATTTAACTTGTAGCTATAAACTTCCGTTTTTAATTCCAGTCCAAGGCGAGATGCACGATCTCTACTGTCATTTAGGTATCATTTACAGCTGAGCATAAGGGTTAAATTTAAATTATTTAACCTTTTGGTGCTGTATCAAAATAACATTAATTTATTATTATTATTATTAGAGAATCTTGTAACACCCATCACTCAGGTGCTGAAAACTGTCCCATAATAATGCTGGAGAAAGAGAGTCTTCGACAAAGAACAGAGTACTCAAAAAACATGTAAATACTAGGCTTCTCAACCTAAATGTCGGACTGTTTAACACGAGGTCATTATGTTATAAAACTGCACAAGTATTTGAGCAACTGTCTGACTCCAATATTAATGCCTGTTTCCTGACAGAAACTTGGCTACGTAAGGGGGCTCTTACTAAATCGCTCACCCAAAAATTTCACGTGACTTTGGTTTTTTTGGTTTTGCAGCCGTACAAAACGGTTTTACATAAACCCTTATCCCAACCCTAACCCTAACCATAATCCCGAAGCTATCCATAATCTTAACCACAACCCTAACCCTAACCCGAGCCCTAAATAATCGAATTCACGTTTTACTAGCCTGTCACGTGACCAAAACGGTTTTTTGCCCATAACTCTCCAGGGAATCATTTTAACCTTACGTCATGGGGGGTGATTCGGAATCAGCGTCCAAAAATACACCTACGTAGATCACTTTCATGCCTAAAGGGCCTTTTCACAAGAATTTTCTTAACATTTGGGCGAGCGATTTAGTAGGAGCGACGTAAGGGAGACACATTAAAAATAGCGGAAATAAAAGACCTAGGCTATAATATTGTTCATCAATCTAGATGCCGTTACATTACTTTTAGCAAACCAGGCAGCTAACAAAGATTTTTGATATAATAACTCAGCCCATGAAG